CCCCCCCCCAAGCGTCCAAGACTTGACAACCAAAGGGATGGACAGTTAGGCTCAGACCGAATGCTCTAAACCATGAAGTGGGTGTGTGTGCCCCAGAAACCACAATTCAACCAGGTGTTGACATTATGTTAAACTACATCCAGCTCCCATCAAAAGGACCTTTAAGAGGTTAGCTTTACCTCACGCTTATAGACTCTAAGCCCAGCAGACGAGGTCGTGGGATACACAACAGTCTAGCAATTAACTGAAGGGCCTGCTATCGTACTTGTATCAAGTTTATGCAAACAAAACTTTTTTTCTCTGCATATGTGCTACTCTATTTGTGTTTGAAACTGTGAATGCTAATTACTATCTATAACTTACAGATGGATTTGAGATTGGAGATATTTTCTCTTGGCGATTTCTCGAAAACTGTTGGTAAGCTTCTTACAGACATGTCAAGCCTTTATGATGTTGGTTGCCGTAAAAGATCAGCAGGGTTGTTAGTTATTGACCGTACACTTGATCTTCTTACCCCTTGCTGTCATGGGGATTCACTTGTGGATCAAATATTTTCATCTCTCCCTCGTAGGGAACGAACATTGGCATCATTAGGCTCACAAAACCAACTGAAATTTGGCCCTACTTATTTACAGAGAGCTCCTTTAAGTGCTATGATACCACTTGAAAACTTTATTCAGGAAGAAGAGAGCTCGACAAAAGAGAAATCCAGGATGTTGGAATGCATTGAAGCCTTTTTGAGCGGTTTGAATGGAGAAAAGTCCTTCAATAGTTCTGGCAGTGACTTTCTTTCTGGGTCCTTTGTCTCCACCGACAATTATCGGGGAACTCCATATCTGGAGGCCATTCTAGACAAGAGAACAAAAGATGGAACTTTACTAATCAAGAAATGGCTTCAAGAGTCTTTACGCCAGGAAAACATTTCTTTAAATACAAAACTAAGTCCTGGTAATAATGATTTGAAGTCCGAGCTAGGGGTAATGATTAAAGCATTGACTAAAAGCCAATCTTTATTGATGAAAAACAAGGGAATTGTTTATTTAGCAATAGCGGCTTTATATGTTTTGGATGAATTGCATAGTTCCAGATGGAATGCGTTTAACAGTGCTGAGAAGATATTGACAGTAAATGCTGGAGATACAAGCCAGAGTCTTGCTGCTCAAATCAGCGATCTTATAAACAAAAGTGCTTTGGTGGGGGTACAAGAGACTACATCAAAGGGGCTGCTCACTCTTCAAGATGCCCTTCTCCTTTCAGTCAATGGGTATATATTAGCTGGTGAGAATTTCCCAACATCTGGCACGAGTGGTCCTTTCTCTTGGCAAGACGAGCATACCATTAAAGAATCTATTGTTGATGCAATTGTGGAAAACCCAGCAGTGGCTAAACTGAAGTTTCTCCAAGGCCTGACAGAAGAAGTTGATGTGGCCAACTCAAGCGATAGAAAACAAGAAAAGGATGTAAGCCCCGATCAAGAGGGGACCATTGATTTTGATGAGTGGGACAATTGGGAGGATGACGATATAGAAAACGATAAAGACAAAGTGAATGCGTGTGGTGACATGCAGAGAAAGTTAGAGTTGCGTCATAGAGTGGACAATTTTTTCAATTTTCTCCACAAACTTTGTAAAGTGAGGGGAAATGTGATGTTTAGAGAGTGGTCAGTAATGGGGGAGAATAAATACAGTGATGATCCATACTCAAAGAAAGGGTTGCTTTATAAAGTTCTGAGCAGGGTACTAGAGAAGCAGGATGTACCTGGCTTAGAGTACCATTCAACAACTGTTGGCCGGCTTTTTAAAAGCGGGCTTGGGAGATTTGGCCTTGGACAGGTATGATTTAGAAATTTTCCAACATTAGGGGTTTGTTTTGAACTTCCACGTATCCCAAATTTAGAAATTCTGCATTTTAATATTGTCAGGCAAAACCAAGTCTTGCTGATCAGAATGTCATTATGGTTTTTGTCATTGGGGGAATCAACTGTGTTGAGGTTTGTTGTCCTTGAAATTTCTCCTTCATTGACTCTCCCTATGCCCCATAAAACAATTAGGTGTTTGACTTAACTGTGTTTAATGAAAGTGTTGAAAAGTGAAAATACTATTGTACATACTCTCCCTAAGTTGGTGTTTTATTTGTTCTAAAATTTTTTTTGACCCGTTTCTTGTACGTATTTCCAGGTACGCGAGGCGCATGAGGCATTATCTGAAAGCAGCCGACCAGATATAGACTTGGTTCTTGGTGGAACTACTCTTCTCACCCCTAATGACATGTTTGAACTACTTCTTGGAGAGTCTGGCTACTTATAAGCCTCACCTGATTTTGATGAGAGGCTAACAAACAAGACCTTTTCCCAGTTCATCACAAACCAGACATTTGCGCCACGGCTTCGTTTTCAAAAGGGCATAAAAAAAGAATGGATGACAGTTAGTTACTCCCTATGTGATGTGAAGTTGTTTTTTTTTTATTTTTATTGTTTTACTCTGTAATTATAGAAGATATAGAACTCAATTTTAGAAAATTGTAATTGTAGTTCTATAGAGAATCGGCACGACAGCACTAGTGAAAAATTGGCACCCCATGTCCTTGGTTTAAGAGAAGGGATGTGACATGTAATTTTTTTCAAAGTGAAATTGTATGGTTAACACTCGTATTAAAATTTAAAAGTGCAATTAGAGTGTCACAGCTCACAATTCTTAGTAACATACTAGTACTGAGTAGGTTAAAAATAGATGAACAAAAAAAAGTATAGAGATAAGAGTTAAATACTCGTATATTTTAGTCCTTGAAAGATATGCCACTTTTGTGTTTTGGTTTTTGTAAGGATTTGTTTTGTCAAGTTCTCACAAAATTAATTTTTTTGAAAATAGTCCTTGACCATGCTTAGCACTTTTAAAATATGTATTATTTTTTTTATTTTTTTAAATTTCATATTATTTTTCATATAAAATGATTTGAAATTGATTTCAATCAAACATTGCGTGGTGGAAAGATAATATTTGAACGGAAGATTACTAAATCAAATTTCAAGAAGTGAAAAGTTCGAGTAATGCTAGTGGTACACTAGCACCCGATTTGTACACCAGAAGGCTCCACACCATACATTTCTTATTCAGTTCTTTCTTGGCACCAAAATCATGAAACATGTGGTGAAGATCCTATTAGAAGGCAAAATGAAGTTCAATTATTTATCTTCATGTAGTCCGCTTGGAACAGGCATACTTTTAGTGGTGAGCATCAGGTCGATACGATTGGTTTCAATTGTTTATCTTCATGTAGTCCAATAAACTGAAGTACTGAACTAACCGAATATTATTAAAACCAAAAACTGAAACCGAATTCAAAATTAGGATCAATTTGATTAGATTGAATTGGTTAATCAGTCGGTTCTCTTAAATTGCTTGCCCGTGCAAACTTTCACAAGAGAGTGTTGACTTCAAATCAAAATACAAAAATAGAGCGCACGAGCACACTCCTTTTCCACGTTAATGGCTACCCTCCCACCAGCTTCTTGCCCTTGAAGAGTTCATTTATCTGTTTGGGTTCTTCAATGGAAGCTCGGGACGAGCACTACCAGAAGGAAGAGAGGGCTGTTCTCGTCACGATCCTAGTCCTCGCATCATTTGCCATTTCCTCTTGCCTTGCCGCTCTCAGCTACTACTGTTATCTCCGAACCAAACTCTCCGCCACTCGCCCCAAGAACATCAAGTGTAAAACCCCTTCACTGTCCTCACAATTGCTTTCTACATTCTTAGAATTCGTCTAGGGTTCTGTTTTTTTTTAAGATTAAATTTGCTCCTCTCCCAGATGCGGAAAAATTGTGCAATTTCGTTTTGTGTATCTAAAAATGTGTTCTTTGAAATTTCGGATTCGAATAATGAAGATGTGAGATTCTTGTCTCAATTTGTTCTGTAATTTGATTGTTGACCTGTTCTTCGTCTCTGTGCTTCTTCGAGTTCAGTCAAGGAGAGTGATTGTGAAGAGAAAGAAAGCGGCATTTCCGATATTAATGTTACTGTTGAGAAGGGAGTTCAAGTTTTCACCTTGAAACAGTTGCAATCGGCAACTGGGGGGTTTTGCAGGGCTAATGTGATTGGGTATGGCGCGTTTGGGACGGTGTTCAAGGGTGTGCTCCAAGATGGGAAGAGGGTTGCAGTTAAGATGATGGATGAGTCTGGAAAGCAAGGGGAGGAGGAGTTTGAAGTGGAGGTTAGAATTAATTAACATATCAATGGATTTCTTTCCTCTTTCTACATTTCGGCTTTTACTTTACTGTTATTTGAACTGATAACCAGGTGGACTTACTGAGTCGGTTGCGCTCGCCTTATCTGTTGTCGCTCATTGGCTATTGCTCGGAAGGCAATCACAAGGTGCTCGTTTATGAGTTCATGGTAAACGGTGGCTTACACGAACACTTGTATTCCTTTGGCGGTAATTGTGTTTTGTTTAATAGTTTTGTAGCTTCTGGTTGGTATTCTGCTTATTATCAGATGTATTAACAGAATAAGCTTAATTATAAGAAGCTTTCAGTCACCGAAATATATCTGGCATTCTGGTTTAGGTTCCACTAGTGCACGCCGGAATTTGGACTGGGAGACGCGGTTGAAGATAGCATTGGACGCAGCCAAAGGTTTGGAATATCTCCATGAAGATGTTAACCCTCCTGTTATACACAGAGATTTTAAAACCAGCAACATCCTCTTGGACGAGAACTTCCATGCCAAAGTTTCTGACTTTGGCCTTGCCAAGCTTGGAACTGATAAAGCTGGTGGGCATGTTTCCACTCGCGTGTTGGGCACCCAAGGCTATGTTGCTCCAGAGTGAGTCTTTCTTCTTGTTTCTTTGTTTGTTTTACATTAAAAAAGTGGCTTTTTATTTTCTAATAAAATCTCTGATTTGCATGGTTTTCCATTTCTTCTGGGTGCAGATATGCATTAACTGGTCACCTGACCACAAAATCAGATGTGTACAGTTATGGAGTTGTCCTGCTGGAGTTATTGACTGGCAGGGTTCCGGTTGACATGAAGCGACCTCCAGGGGAAGGTGTTCTTGTCTCCTGGGTAGGCACCTCATCTGGTTTTTCTAGCCATGTAAAAAAAAAGTTGCCCCTAAATTGTCCCACCAAAAAAGGCCAAAAACTTCTCTATCCCTTCGTTTTTAGGTTAATGTCTTTAATAACACTAATGGTCCGTGTAGGCACTGCCCCGTGTGACGGATAGAGAAAAGGTGGTAGAGATTATGGACCCAACAATGGAGGGGCAGTACTCAATGAAAGAAGCTATTCAGGTTGCTGCCATTGCTTCAATGTGTGTGCAACCAGAAGCCGACTATCGCCCCCTTATGGCTGATGTTGTGCAGTCTCTGGCTCCCCTGGTTAAACACAACCGGCCCACTCCCAAGCACGGCATCTAGCTCTTCCATCTCTCACTTGTGTAAGAATTGACTTTAGTTCTGCATCAAGGGGAAGAGTTTTCTCTCCTCATCTTACTTGGGTTCCACATTGTTTGCAAGATATAATATAATGTTGGATATTAAATAAGAGTAGTGTTGGGTATCTGTGTTCATTGTGATGTAAACTGCTAAAGAACTTAGCTGAAGGGTGTGAAATTAAAGGTTGAATATGTATAGAGCTTGAGAAATCAGAACTTCTCAAATTTAGATTAAAATGGCTGCATTTCAACTCAAAAAATAGCTTATACCCTCATAACCTCATCAATGTACACCAAAAGATTCATAAACACACAGAGGATTCAATGTCTGTACATGCACAAATATTGAGTGTGTGTGAATCTTTTGGTGTACAAATAGGATACACTACTTTGGATACCCCTAACATTCTCCTATTCTTTTTATAGAAAGAAAGTAAATAAGAAATTTATTTTGGGACAGATAAAACCAATGTTAAATTTATTTGCGAGACGGAGGGTGTACAAATTAGAACCAAGCATAAGTCTCATGTTGGGTGGCAATATTTGCCTCGACTAAAATTAAATGTTAGGATCACTTTATAGTCTGGGGATATAGTGGGTAAAATCAACAGAAAGAAAGCCGGAGGAAGAGAATGAAGCAAATTGTTTCATTTTAGAATCGGCTAGATTTCGTTGACATCGGCTAACTTCATACTACGGTGGCCATTGGGATTGTAAGACAATTACGGCGCTTCAATTGAAAAATTGATGATTTCTATCTTCAGTAAATACCTTACTCCGGTCTGGCCCGAACTGACCCCTAACCCCTTCAGTTTCATGCTCAACTGTTTTTGACTTTAATGTCAACAAAATTAGACTCCAGATCCAACAAAATTTTGGGGTGAACTTGAAGGGGTTAAGTTGTGGCTTCAGACTGAGTCGGAGTAGAGAGGTTTAATATAATGAAAGAATTTGAAAGAGTATGAACTATCAATTTTACAAACCAAATACCATAAATGTTCTAATAAGAGCCGCTATCATCCATTGACACTCAAAATGAGTGTCAACGGGACCCCTTTGATTTTGAATACGTATATAGAGTAATTTGCCTACTTTTACCGGAGGAGATTCATTGACATTGGAAGTCAATGTTATGATATTGACCCCAATTCAAGCTCCTAAGATGTCATGCTTATAAAACTGATGATTTCCACACCCATTTGGCCTGCTCGAACCTACCCACCCCTTTCACTTACCCTCAAATTTATGTGACTTTGGAGTCAAATTTTATGACTCCAAAATTAAATAAATTTGAGTGATGCAATTGAAAAGAGTGGGAATTGGTTCAACTTGGAGCGGGATGTGAGGGTTTAGAAAAATAATGTAGGTTTTAAAACCTGAAACAAATTTGTTTAGAGAGATTTAAAATCATAATTTAATTAGTGATATGTAGGGGTGACTGACAATAGCAGTGGTTGGCGATGACAATGGTAGCCGGTGACTGAAAATGATCAACTGTTGAGAGAGAGATCAAACTCTCATATTGATATTTCCCAAATTCGAGAGATATCAAAACTCTTTAGTTTTAAGATTTATGATATCTGAAGATATCAAATTCGATTTTTTTCGACTTCACCGAACACTAAAAAAAATATGATATCTAGGATATCAAAACTCATATCTTGTTTACTTACCAAACATATCCTTAGTGTTAGATAAAACAATGCCACGGTATTTTATTTAAAAATTGATGAGCCCAAGCCGAGTCTGTTTTGATTTATTATATTTGATTGAATTTATTTTAATTTAATTTATTATAGAATTGGAGTGAAATTTAAAAATTTACTTTACATATGAAACAAGACATGGAATGAAGTTTGACCATGTGTATGGTAAAGAAACATCTTAATTTGGGACAAGGGAATACTGATAAATATATGGAGTACAAATTAAAATTTTAAAAATACTCTAAATTAAAAAAATAGAAAGAAAATGTTTGTTCACCCTAAAAACAAGAGAAGATTTTTTTTCCCATTTTCTAGGTCAAACTATATTTGGAGTATATGATAGTCAAGCCACCACTTTGGAAAATTTGGGTAGATTTGAAATAGCTTGTGGGCGTTGCATATACTAGATTCTAATCCGTGGAATGCACGGTGAAAATATTTTTTTTGATGATATACATAATGGAAAATATAAATAAGAAATACTTACACGTAAGATGATAAGTCATTGAACATCAATTTTATGTATATCGTTGGTGGACTGCATACAATACACCCCACCCATCAAGAGTGCATGAATGGCATGATATTAGTGAAATAAAAACAAAAATATAAATTATAATAATAAAAAAATATTTATATACAACATTCCAAGTTTGATCAAATGTGATTGGGAGGGTGGTTCACATCATCGCAAGTCGAGATCTTCATCCTTGTTTATTTGTCACATATGAAATAGCAGCGTAAAATTGACCATGACTACAAATTGGCTAAACTCCATTCAATACATCAAAGCTTAGTTCATGAATCATGACACTGGAGAATATTTGGGACGAACAACTTGTTATTTGCTCCACAAATCTCGTATTATTAATGTCACAAAAGATGTTGATAGATTAGGATTAAAAATGTAATCATGATGTATAGTGACCAAATAAGAAATCCGTTTGGTACACGAAATTTAAACTATGGAATTGGAATTGAGGACTTCAATTCCAATTTTAGTGTTTGGTAGTACAAAAATTATGTGGATTTAGAATTGATAGTGCAAAAAATGAATTGGAATGGGTGAATTCAATTCTATGGAATTGAATCCAATGAAATTTCAATTCCAATTCCATCAATTCCGTATACCAAACGGACCCTTAATTAATGTTCCTAGAGCAACATTGCAATTCATGCTCCTACTTTTGAAGCATATAACTTGGTACATCTAGACTTAAGTGAAAACTCCTTTGGACAAAATATTATACTCCTAGATATCTACCAAAAATCAAGCACCATTATTTAATAGAAATATATGATTGGACCCAAACTAATGGTACCTCACTGTAATAGTAAAACACATGTTACCTTCGTAGCTGCTAGTGGAGTACTATTTTCTTCTTTGAGCTTTCTCCATTTTCTCTTTTACCCGGATTTACCCTAATCTTTTCTTTGATAATAACTAGTGCACATCTTATTTCCTCCACTGTTATCAACTCTTCTTCTTCTTTTTTAAAGTCATATACTACTACCTTGTCTCCCCCCAACTCCTCAACCACTTCTTCTTCGTTTGCGCTTATGTACTTCAAAACAAGTTGCAAGAGTATCCCCTAATCTAGTAATAGAGAAATTATATAATCCGGGGCTGGGCATTGATGATGTGTGGGATTAAAATGTCTCGTTACATATTCCAGAATACTATTAAATCTTAGGCTTTCACAAAATATTTTTATTATAATCAACAATGCTCCCGCAGTTTCTTTTTGTTTCATTTCGTCTATTTCATTTGGGTCAACTTTTCTTAACTTCTTCATTGAGTATGTTAAGTAATCCAAACCACCCAACATAGTTTTCCCAGCCAACTTTCTCAACTCTGAGTACTCCATACCCACGTTTATACATTTTCCATCTTTAATGACATTTTTGGTGTCGGCCATATATTTCTTTTCCCTCAACTCTAGCCAGCCCGTTTCACAACGAAATCTAATAAGGTATAAGTCGTTAACTCTCAATGCTATGTCGAGAAATGAATCTTCGTTTTGTAGATGTAGACGATACAAATACTCTATTCTCTTTTCGCTCATAATGAATATATCCTTAAATGAGGATGATGTAGCAAAGTCTCCGCGGGCAAACTAGATAAGATTTACAAAGTCATTTGTCGTTTACGTTAGAAATGTCTAAATCTCGGTTGATAAAAGGCCACGGCTTTTCACCCATGGTATTAATAACTTTAACTAATATGGAAAATGGAAAAACCAAGCTCGTAACCTTTTTTGATAATCTCTTCAACTTAAGAAGTTATCAAAAGACTAATAAGTCAATGCCTGAATAAGAGAGCCCACAGATTCATCCAAAATGTATTCCAGAATCCATGGGCTCTTTCATTCAGACATTGACGTAGTAGTCTTTTAATAACTTCTTCAGTTGAAGAGAATATCAAAAAGTTTACGAGCTTGGTTTTTTCATTTCCTATATTAGTTAAAGTTATTAATACCATGGGTGAAAAGCCGTGGTTTTTTATCAACCAAAAGTTAGACATTTATGACGTAAATGACTTTGTAAATCTTATCAAGTTTGCCCGCGGAAACTTTGCTACACCATCCTCACTAAAGGATATATTCATTGTGAGCGAAAAGAGTATAGACTATTTGTATCGTCTACATCTACAAAATGGAGATTCATTTCTCGACATGGCATTAACGACTTATACCTAATTTGATTTTGTGAAACAGGCTGGCTAGAGTTGAAGGAAAACAAATATATGCCTGATACCACGAATGTCATCAAAGATGGAATATTTATAAACGTGGGTATAGAGTACTCAGAGTCGAGAAAATTGGCTACGAAAACTATGTCAGGTGATTTAGATTACTTAACACACTCAATGAAGTTGACCCAAATGAAATAGACGAAATGAAACAAAAAGAAATTGCGGGAGCGTTGCTGACTATAATAACAAAAAGAAATTGCGGGAGTTACCTTCTTGCTAGTTACGGGTATATTTTCTTCTTTCTCTACTTGAGCTTTCTCACTTTTCCCCGATACTCAGACTTTTCTCGATCTTTTCTTTGATGATGCCTACTGCAGCTCCTGTTTCTCCCAGTGTCTTCAAATTTCTTTCTTCATTCCTCGTAAAATCATACATCGTGTGTCACCAACTCGTCAATCACTTCTTCATTTAATGAGCCTTTGTACTTCAACATAAGTACTGATATTTTTTTCCCAATTCACTACTAGAATATTTATCCACTTAGGGGCTAAATTTATAGGATGTGTGGCATTAAAATGTTCACCACATGTTCCAGAATATTATTAAATCTTAGATTTACACAAAACATTGTTATTAGAGTCAACAACACTACCGCAATTTTTTCTTTCGAATCATCTATTTTATTAAGGTCAACCGTAGCGAAAGATATGAGACGAAAAGTGTAATAGATATCTTAATAATTCTAACCTCTGTTTCAAACTCATCTCAATTAATTCTGGCCAGAGGTAAGATGCATCATCAGCTTGATGGGATGTAAATTAGATAACCTTATTGTCATTTTATATCCGTACGTTATTAATTAGTTAATATAAAATTAAAAAGAACAATTCATTACTATGTAACAATCCTAAATGGCCTGTGATGGGTAGAATATTTATTTAAAATGTTACCTTCCTGCTAGTTATGAGTATATTTTCTTCTTTGTCTGAGAAGAAAACATACTCGTAACCAGCACGAAGGTAACATTTTAAATAAATATTCTACCCATTCCAGTCTATTTAAGATTGTTACATAGTGATCAATTATTCTTTTTAATTTTATAATGACTAATTAATAACGAATGGATATGAAATGGCAGTAAGGTTATTTAATTTGCATGCTGTCAAGCTGATGATGGATCTCACCACTGGAAGGAATTGAGTGAGATGAGTTTAAGTAGAGGTTAAAATTATTAAGATATCTATTACTCTCTCTGTCTTATTTCTTTCGTTACGGTTGACCATAATAAAATAGATGATTCGAAAGAAAAAAAATCGCGGGAGCGTTGTTGACTTTAATAACAACATTTTGTGAAAGTCTAAGATTTAATAATATTCTGGAACATGTGGTGAAACATTTTAATGGTTCACATCCTATAAGTTCAGCCACAAAGTGGATAAATAATCTAGTAGTGAATTGGGGGAAAATATCGGGACTTGTGTTGAAGTACAAAGGCTCATCAAACAAAGTGATTGACGAGTTGGTGACACACAATATAGCGGTGTATGATTTTATGAGGAATGAAGAAAGAAATTTGAAGACGGTGGGAGAAACAAGAGGTGTAGTAGGCATCACAAAGAAAAGATCGAGAAAAGTCTGAGTATCGGGTAAAAAAGAGAAAGCTCAAGTAGAGAAAGAAGAAAATATACTCGTAACTAGCATGAAGGTAACATTTTAAATAAATATTCTACCCATCCCAGTCCATTTAAGATTGTTACATAGTGATGAATTATTCTTTTTAATTTTATAATGACTAATTAATAACGTATTGATACGAAGTGGCAGTAAGATGAGTTTGATTAAGATGAGTTTGATTAAGCTGATGATGGATCTCACCACTCACAGGAATTGATTAAGATGAGTTTGAACTTTGAAGTAGAGGTTAGAATTATTAAGATATCTATTACTCTTTCCGTCTTATTTCTTTTGTTACGGTTGACCCTATAAAAATAGATGATTCGAAAGAAAAAAATCGCGAGAGCGTTGTTGACTCTAATAACAACGTTTTATGAAAGTCTAAGATTTAATAGTATTCTGGAACATATAGCAGGACATTTTAAGCCCACACGTCATTAATCCTCAGCCCCGAATTGGATACTTTCTTAGTACTAGATTAGGGGAAACTCTCGCAACTTGTTTTGAAGTACATAAGCACAACAAAAAAGAAGTGGTTGAGGAGTTGGGGGAGACAAAGGAGTAGTGTATGGCATTAAAAAAGAAGAAGAGTTGATAACAATGGAAAAAATAAGTATGCACTAGGCATTATCAAAGAAAAGTTGGGGGATATCCGAGTATAAGAGAAAAGGGAGTAAGCTCAAAAAAGAAAATAATACTCCACTAGCAGCTACGAAGATAACATGTATTTTAAATAAATAAATGTTCTATATATCCATTTCTTATCCCATTATTTAAGATTATAGGTAGGTAGATAGTCTTATGATGACTACTATATTAATAAGGTACGTGATATGTCATGACAAAAAATAAAAGATACATACCATTACCATGGAAGACTGTGCTTCAGTGCCGCCCCAACACATGACACTACAATAGATGATTTTATACTTATACAAACGATAATTATCTCTGATTTATACAGACAATTATCATCTATGCATGCATAAAATTGTTTGTATTATCATGCGTTGAGACGTGACTCGTGAGTGGTGGCTGCATAGAATTCGTATGCTGCAGGAGCGCCCGACGTGGGGTATACACGTCCATCAATTCAAGTATAGCTTGAGGCTAGGATGAGTCTATCTGCTTATAATAAGCTAAGGGACCACTAGTAGCTAGCTAGAGATTTTTAGATACATGTTTTTCTCCTGAGTAATTCTTTCATTGTGTTGTACGCACGTGTTAGTTATACTACTGGTAATTAAAACGATTTATAAATAAATATATATATATATATATATATATATATATATATATATATATATATATATATATATGAGATTGACTCCAGTGAGATGACACTTTACGATGAGATTACATGCGTCGGTCAGATGACACAAAGCTCACCGTTGGCCACTGCAAACTCACCAAATTGTAAGGCAAAGCTCACCATATTTTTTCAACACTTTGAATTTTTTTCCAAAAAATAAAATCAAAGGAAGGGGTGCTGACTAGACTTTGAATGTTGACCGCCGCCGATCTCCGGCAGCCACCGCCAGTCGCCGCCGCCAGACTCCGGCCGCCACCGCAGGCCGTCGCCGGTTGCCACCGCCGGACTTCGGCCGTCGGTCGTCGCTGGTTGCCGCCGCTGGACTCCGGCCGCCGCGGCTACTCCGCCGCCATTGACTGGTGGTTGACCGGGGTTGTTATTTTATTTTTAATTAATTTTTTAATTTTTAAAATTTAAAAAAAAGGTGAGTTTTGAGGTTGAAAGTGGTGAGCTTTGCTTTGTTTCCAGGTGAGCTTTGCATTGTCCATTGGTGAGCTTTGCAGTGGCCAGTGGTGAGCTTCATCTGACTGGAGTCAATCCTTATATATATAACTAATGCAAAACTCACCTAGAAATAAAACAAAATTTAACATTTGAACACCAAAACTCACCATATTTTTAAATTTTAAAAATTAAAAAATTATTTAAAATTAAAATAGCAACACCGGTCAACCACCGGTCAGCAGCGGCGTCCGGCGTTTGCGGCAGGTTTTGCGGCAGCGAGATGCGGCAAGCGGCAATCAAAGGTCCAAATCTAGTCAACACCCTTTCTTTTGATTTTATTTTTTTCAAAAAAAAATCAGTGTTAAAAAAATATTGTGAGCTTTGTTTTACAATTTGGTGAGCTTTGTTGTTATCCTTGGTGAGGTTTGCAGTGGTCAATGGAGAGTTTTGCATCATCTGACCATTGCATGTCAATCTCATCGTAAGGTGCTATCTGACTGGAGTCATACACAAGGTAAATGAAACAGATTTCTCTAGTGAATCCAACTTAACCAACCAAATAGTGCGTGTAGACATAAACGCAGGAACGGTTTTGACTTCAAATGAAAAAATTGAATCTTACATTCAATATATATTTAATGAACAAGAAACATTAGAATTGAGTTTTGCATAAAAATCATAGATTTCGGTTCTATGGGTATAATGCAGAATGGTTTCAGATCTGTGGCATAAAATGGTTTCAGATCTGTGGCATAAAATGATTTCAGATCTGGTGGTTTGAGATCTGATGGAGGTAGTAATGAAATTACCTGACATCTTAGTAGACGGAATCGGAAGAAAGTACTGTTGTAGGAAGAAGGGGTTTGTCAGATCCAGCCGAGAGAATGGTTGTGAATGGGTAGGTATAGAATTTTGAAGCTGTGAAGTTTGAGAGACACAATCTCCACATTTATCTTACAGATCATGTGCGGGGCTCCTTTTAAAGGAAGGATTAACTATGTGTATCTAACATTTATATTCCAATTTGTATCTCGCGGGTTTGTACTAATATTTTGTGTTAGTGTAAAACTAATTTTTGTTAAAGTATTAACACTTTGTGTTCGTATAAATCTTGTTAACGTACCAACACTTGTGTCGGTGTAAACCATCAAAATGTTTGTGCATAACTGTGGTGTGCAAATGAAGTACATTATGGAATTCAAGCCATAATTATGGAGTCAAAGATATAGCATGTGTTGGTACGTTAAAGGAATTCAAGCCAATTATGGAGTCAAAGATATAGCATGTCCCCCTCTTCAATTAGATATTTGGATTTAATTTAAAAAAATCATCCTAAATAGGACTAAAACATAGAAAAAATATCAAAATACGAGTTCAATGTTTTTATTTTCCAAGTAGGAGTTCGTATTGTGATAATGTGACACTGTACATATGTACATTACTATACTTTTTTATACTCCCTCCGTCCTAAAACCATCTTCCCACTTCCCTTTTTTTCCCGTCCTAAAAATACCTTCCCTAACCCAAAAAAGGGCAGTGTAAAGACAAATATACCCCCTCTCATTTACGTCACAACTACCTTTCTCTATTTTCTTAAACCCTAGATCTATCCCTGTCTCTCCTTATCCGCCTCTCTCAATGAAGATTCCGTTTCTTGGAGATTCCGACGTAGGGGGAGTGGTGCCCAGAGCGCTGGCGCCGGCGGCCGATCCCGTTTCACCGCCTCTCTCCGCCTCTCTCAATGGAGATTCCGTTTCTTGGAGATTCCGCCTCTCTCAATGGAGATTCCGTTTCTTGGAGCGCTGGCGCCGGCGGCCGATTCCGCTTAATAGAAGCAGCTGCGGACTGCCCAGAGCGCCGGAGGCCGATCTGCCCAGAGCGCTGGCGCCGGCGGCCGATCCTTCACCATCGCGTGGTGGAACTGCCTGATCTGGTCCCGGAAAATCACTCCGATGGAGGATTGCTTCGAATCCAGCGATGTGGTGGTCGACGCCAGAACAGTAGATCCGCCACGCTGTGGCGGCGGCCGGAGTTGTCGAAGGTTGACGCGCCGATCTTGGTGCCAAGAACGTGGTGCAGGTTGATTCGGGCTTCCAGCAAACCGTCCAATTTCCTTACATTTTTACAAAGGGCAAAATGGGAAGTCAAAGGTTAAAATATAAACTCCTTAAAAATGGGAAAAAGTCAATGTGGGAAGGTCAAATTAGGACGGAGGGAGTAATATACATGACAATGTTTGGTAATGTAAATGTATTTTAAGTCCTATTTCAGAAATAAAAACATAGAACTCCGATTTTAGTATATTTTTAATGTTTTACTCTTACTTTTGTCTTTTTTCCTTTAACATGTGATTAGTAATTATTACTCTTTCTGTCTCAATTAAAATTATTTGTTTATAATTTACAGGGTCAAATTTTATTAACTTTTTTATTTTTGTTAGTCATTCGATAAAATAATATAATCATATCATCACTAATTTTGTAGATCTTATGATCTAATTTTTAAATATGTAATTTTTATTTTTTGTTCCACACCTTTTTAGATAATATGATTTGAGAATAATTTCAGTCAAATATCGTAAACTAAAAAAAGATTTAAATTGGGATCAAAAGTTTGGCTTTTAAACTAAATCTATAATTGGTCTTTTATAATCAAGAATTTGTCATATAGAAAAAATATCAAAATTTGAGTAAAATATTGAGAAAATGATGATATACATTGTCAATAATGTCATTGTGCAAACTTCTATTTGGGATATTAAAATATGGAGCTTTAATCCTTGAGATAAGAGCTACTCCGTATATTTTAATTATTATTGGATTGATTTTTACACCATATTTAATTTTCTATTATCAAATATTATATCTGTGATCTATCTTTTGAAGTTGTGGAGTTTTTTACCATATTTAATTTTCTATTATCAATTTTCTTGAACCAAACATAGTGTTAAGGACACAAGTAAAATTATTCGTTAGATAGGAATGTTATCCACCAAAACTTTTTAAGCTCCATTTGGCATACGGAATTCAAATTATAAAATTGCAATTAGAGACAATAATTTCCATTTTGTTTGATAGCACAAAATATGTATATTTGAAATTGGTAATGCCAAAAATGAATTGTAATCTATAGAAATGCAACTCCCAACTCAATTCTAATTCCTTCAATTACGTGTACCAAACGAACCTTTAATTTCCTCAGAACTTGTTTTCACTATTTTATGTATTTTAGTATTGGAGTCTTTAAATGTTTAATACTCCCGTCCTAAATTACTCTGTAAATTATCTATTTACTGTTTACAATGTCAAACTTCTTTCACCATCTTTTCCCATTTTTATTAGTCATTTGTTAAATTAATCCAATCATATCACCACTAGTTGTGGATCATTTGATGTGATTTTTTAAGTGTGTATGGAGTAATTTTATTATGTAATTCGACATCATTTTTCATATAAAATTATTTGAAAATAACTTTAGTCAAACATTGTAAACTGAAACAAACATTTTAAAAAGAGAAGGAGTGGGTACTACACATTTTATGAGTACAATTGTCAATTGTCAAATAGTCCAAAATACTCTTATACACTTTTACATTAAGCTAAAGCAAATTTTCTTTGTTGTCTTCAAGTTAATGTTCATTTTATAGATCTTCGTACATAAAATGACTTTATATAATGAACCTTGTAAAATAAAAGAAAAATCCAACTTTGAGTTCATAGAAACTTCATCTAATATGCTATGTTCTCTCTTACTTATAGGGTAGTTGCATAAAGCTTCATATTCTACCAAACATATATTGTCACATCTTTGTTTGTTAAATATTTGATATACTTTAAAACAATGTAATATATATATTTTATTGATATATAAATTTATTAATAAAAAAAATTTTAAAGTATGATTTTGTATGTTCAAATTTAGAAGAAAAAAGGACAAAAGAAGTATAACACAAACAAAAAAAGAAAAAGTATTAATTAAAGAAGGCGTCTAATTTGACACGTGTCGGTTACGACGGCTAGAAGCCCTCTCGTTACACTGATTTAATTAGGATATCTATAATAATACCTCGATCAAAAATGTGATGCATTTACCACCTAACATATTGCTAGAGTAAGAAGGGGGGTTGGGGAGCTGAGATGCCCAATTGATCTTGTGTCCTAATTGCACATTCGTTTTTGAATATTTGTTTAGTTTTCATTTTTTGCACACAATGTCTAATATTAAATTTATTCAATTAATGGTGAAAATTTATCAATTTTAATTGCAAAAAAATTGGACAAATATTTAAAGAAATACTCCCTCCCTCTTGTTTTAAATCGCATGTTTTGACTTTTGGGCATATTTAAGGAAGAGAAAAAATAGAATTGATTTTCCAAGATTGTCATTACTTTTTAGGAGGGATGACGATGAATGAGAAGATAAGGTGGAGAAGAGTGACTTATTTTAGGGGTATTTTAGGTATTTTACTCTTAAAAGTTTACGATAACAAGTAACAAATAACTTATTTTGGACGAAGAAAAAAGACAAACATACAATTTAAAATGGGACAGTAGGAGTATACAACAACAAGAGCCAAGTTGGACAAATAATTAGGGAAATATAACAGAGTTAATTATATACTCCTTATATTCTTGATTTCCAATTCAATTAAATTGCGATCCAATACTGTGGTGCATAGGCATTGAATTTTTTTTGATTTTAAAACATTTTTTTAATTCTTCTTCATTCTTCTGGATGAGTACTTTTGCCTAATCTCATCAAGCCGATCAGGTATGTGCTTGATTAATTATGAATTAATTTTATACGGATCGGACTATGTTTTAATCATTGATTTAGTGATTTTGGTGTATTTATTATTTGTCTTTTATTATATCTTTCAATGAGGCCGCTCTCTTATCGGAAGTCACAAGTTTAAATATTATTAGAAAGTTAACTTTTTGTACTTCAGTAATTTGGAAAAATATATTGCTTGAAAGTTGAATCTTACTTTGTAAATTGAGAAAATATGTATGAATAAATACTACTCCCTCCGTCCCAAATTATAATGCTTGTTTACTATTCACAGGGTCAAATTTCATTCACTTTCTTTCTCTATTTTCGTTAGCAATTTGATAAAATAAAATATTATTGTCACTACTAGTTTTGTAGATCTTTTGATGTAGTTTTTTAATATGCAATTTTTATTTTTTAATTCTATACCATTTGTCATATAAAATGGTTTGAAAATAATTTCAGTCAAACATCGTAAACCGAAACAGGCGTTATAAAATGGGACGGAGGTAGTACATTATAATAGAGTTACTGATAAAACAATACGTTTCTTTGTTCCGTGATTCTTTTTTAAATATGGGTTATAAGCTCCATTATATATCAACGAAATGAAAATTAAATGTTTAACAAATAAATATTGTGCAATGATTAAATATGTGGACTTCAGTTATTGTATTTTTAATAGCGAATAGATATTACGAGTTCAGAGTATGTCTAAAAAAGAAACACATAAGAAATGAGTATTACAAGTACTATTCTAGAAATTCTCCTTGTTTTCTCTATCATTATGTTTGGTTCAAAGATTTTGAGAGGGAAAAGAAAAGAAAATTAGAAGGAAAATATTTTTTTGTTTGTTTAAAGAGGAAAAGAAAAGAAAAGTTGAAGGAAAAGAAAATGAGAAGGCAAATAGTACTAAGTGAATGGAAAACCAAATTCATCATATTTTGGTGAAAAAAATGAGGAAAAACTATTTTCTTTTTTTTTTCATTTGAAATTTTTTGAACCAAACATAGTGCATGTTTAAGTGGTTGGACAAGAAAAGGTTATGGATGTAAAAAATAATGTGGGCGAGTTAAATGGTAGAAAAATGGAACTTTCCAAGTAAAATATAGAGTGAACATAACAATTCTCTAAAGAAAAAGTTAGGGGTATAAAGTTAAATATGTTATAGGAACATAATTGCACAACAAAGTAACTCCTTAAATGGGGCCATGGTAAAAACTAGAAAGTCTGTGTATATTCCTTTTAACATAAAGAATATCATCTCCCAGTAAGAAAACAAATATGGCAATCATTTTTCCAACCTAAATTGTAGAGTGAAAAGAGTTTCAACTTTCAAGGTAAAACCAAGCAAGCAGTACATGATTTTAATTTTTTTTTATCTCAAGTTTTTTAAATGAAAAAAAATACAAAATCAAACATGCTAATCATTTTCCCATCTCAAATTGTCAAAAGGTAAGCTTTCTATACCAGTGCATATATGTAGCCTACCTATTTTATCTGTCTTACATATGATGGTTTGTTTTCATTTTTTTTCTTTGAAGAAGCTGCAGAGAACTCAGCCCTATTTGCGGCTTTGATTTCCAAAGATGATGTTAAGATCATACACAAACCTTTTAGATTTGGCCACAGGGAATTTCCCAACAATGAAGAGGGAAGGGAGACGAATGCCGAGGGCAATGTCTGTACCTGGGAACATATGCGATCTTGACGATCAACAGTCCCATCACAGCGCTGCATTCTCTGACAATCCGTCCTCGCTTTCCAGTGATAGGATGATCATTGTCGCGAATCAGCTGCCACTTAAAGCTACAAGAAACGCAGACGATAAAGAATGGATTTTTACCTGGAATGAAGATTCTTTGCTGTTGAGACTCAAAGATGGGTTGCCAGAAGACATGGTGATCATATACGTGGGGTGTTTATGCGTCGATGTTGATGCAGTCGAGCAGGACGATGTTTCTCACCACCTCCTGGAGAAGTTCAGATGCATCCCCACTTTCCTTCAGCCAACTGTTCTTGAAAAGTACTATGAGGGCTTCTGCAAGAAACACCTATGGCCTCTTTTCCACTACATGTTGCCCTTCTCCCCGGATCATGGGCCCCGCTCTGACCGTTCTCTGTGGCAGGCATATGTTTCGGTCAACAAGACTTTTTCCCAGAAAGTGGTGGAGGTTCTTAATCCGGATGAAGATTTTGTTTGGATCCACGATTATCACTTGATGGTGTTGCCCACATTCTTGAGGAGGCGGTTCAACCGGTTAAGAATTGGTTTCTTCTTCCACAGCACTTTCCCTTCTTCTGAGATCTACAGGTCTCTACCTGTTAGGGAAGAGATTCTGAAGGCTCTGTTATGTTCGGATCTCATCGGTTTCCACAATTTTGATTATGCTCGCCATTTCCTCTCTTGCTGCAGCAGGATGCTGGGGGTGGAGTATCACTCAAAAAGGGGTTATATTGGGATGGAGTACTACGGTAGGATTGTTGGTGTAAAGATTATGCCCATTGGAGTCCACATGGGACAAATCGAGTCGCTGATGAGGCTTGCAGAGAAAGAAACGAAACTCGGAGAGCTTAGGAAACGATTTGAAGGGAAGACTGTGTTGCTTGGGGTTGATGACATGGACATCTTTAAAGGCATCAACTTGAAGCTTCTAGCTATGGAACACTTGCTCAAACAACACCAAGAATGGCAAGGGAAGGCTGTTTTGGTCCAGATTGCCACCCCTCCGAAAGGGAAAGGGATCGCTTTGGAGGAGATCAAATCTGAAATCCAAGAAAGCTGTAAGAGAATCAATGGAGAATTTGGAGAAGATGGGTATGATCCTGTTGTTCTCGTCGACTCACCCATATCAAGCAGTGAAAAAATGGCTTATTATAACATTGCAGAATGTCTTGTCACCACACCTGTAAGGGATGGGATGAACCTGAGGCCATATGAGTATGTTATTTGTAGGCAAGGAATACCTGGTGGTGCAGAAACAGACTCGGGATCGGGCTTTGGTGAGCCCAAGAAGAGTGTTTTGGTCTTATCCGAATTCATCGGGTGTTCACCTTCACTTAGTGGGGCAATCCGGGTCAACCCGTGGAACATTGAAGCTACTGCTGAGGCAATGAATGAGGGTATCTCAATGGGTGAAGCAGAGAAACAGCTCAGGCACGAGAAGCATTATCGCTATGTCAGCACCCATGACGTGGCGTATTGGTCTAGAAGCTTCTTGCAAGATTTGGAGAAGAAATGCGCGGATCACTTCAGGAAAAGATGCTATGGTATTGGGTTGGGGTTTGGTTTCAGAGTCGTGGCCTTAGACCCCAACTTCAGAAAGCTATCAATAGATGAGATTGTCTCGGCTTATGTTAAGGCAAATAACAGAGCAATGCTGCTTGATTATGATGGAACTGTTATGCCTCAGAGTTCTATCATAAAATCGCCTAGTGCACAAGTCCTCGCCATTTTAAACAAAATCTCTAGTGAGAAGAAGAATGCAGTGTTTATAGTTAGTGGGAGAGGAAGGGAAAGCTTAAGCAGCTGGTGTTCACCTTGTCAGAAGCTGGGGCTTGCAGCAGAACATGGCTACTTCATGAGGTATGCATGGTTTCCTGATCATCCTCTTAATCCTTCAGCCAAATAAGTCAATAATGCTAATATTCAGAATGAGCTTACCAAACAGACCCTTCATGTCTGGTTCTTGAAAATAAATACTCGTGCAGGTGGACACAAGATGATGAGTGGGAAGAGGTGAGTCAGAACTGCGACCTTGGATGGATGCAACTTGCTGAACCAGTGATGCAATCGTATACAGATGCAACAGATGGGTCTTGCATTGAAAAGAAGGAAAGTGCAATCGTGTGGCAGTACATTGATGCAGACCCCAGTTTTGGGTTTTCTCAGGCCAAGGAGATGCTTGATCATCTTGAGAATGTTTTAGCCAATGAACCTGTTGCTGTCAAAAGCGGGCGCTCCATCGTAGAAGTCAAGCCACAGGCATGCTTTATATCTCTATTGCATTCTCTTTATAGGGCCTGTTCACAACATTCAATTCAGCTAAATAGGCAAATAAGAAGCTACTTATTCTGTTTATGGTTCTGTGATTTCTATGTTTATATTTTTCTTTTCATTTTCAGGGAGTTACCAAAGGATTGGTTGCAGAAAAGGTATTCACAAAGATGGCAGAACAAGGGAAAGCAGCAGATTTTGTGCTTTGCATTGGGGATGACAGATCAGATGAAGATATGTTTGAAATGATTGATATTGCACTCTCTAGAGATATCCTCTCCCAAAGTACAAAGGTTTTTGCCTGCACTGTTGGACAGAAGCCCAGCAAAGCCAAATACTATCTGGATGACCCTTCCGAGGTGATAATCATGCTTCAGTCTCTAGCTGAGGTCACCTCCGATGACGATGACAAAGAAGGTTGAAATTCTGCTTGAATGGATCCCCCTTCAATCCTTCATGGCTGAGAAAGGGAGAAGTGAATTTGTTTATCAAAATTTAAAGAGCCTTTTATACAAGAGATAGGAAAGATCCTGCAGACTGAAGCACCTTATCAATGCACCCAGTACTCTTTTCTTCGGGCATGCGTGATTTTGCCCGTTAAGGCACTCTAACAACTAAAGGCCACACAATACTTTTTAGAATACTCATTGTATCATTGTAAGTTAGCTCTTTCCTGGTTAAGTTGGATCTACATAGAAATTATCTAAATAATACACAAATGAGAGAGTTATACTCCATCTTTAATTTCATTTAGATGTGTAGTGTCACATTAGTGACATTGCGACAAGCAGGAAACGTACATCCTATGCAAATAAGACTAATACAACAGATAAGTGAGCAGATGTATAGTGCCAAATTCGCCTTTTTAGATGAGATAAGTGAGCATTAATACTTAAGATTTCATCCGGGATTAAGAGTAATCCAAGTCTCTATATGTTAGCTTGTATTTGTATGTTGCTATAGTTCTTCAATGTGAATTGTGAAATGCCCTAACACTGACACAGTGGGGTTGGGGTCTCGGGGATGAGCAAGCACAACAAAGCAGGGATGGTGCAGAACAAGAATATTTATTGTTTATGGCAATCCGTAATTCTATTTCTAAAAGACTTTAGTTACATGGATTACAAAGCAGTGATTTTTATACAAAAGAGAAAAAAAACATTTAAGGATGCAATGTCATTGAAATCACAAAATGCAAAGTATACAAATTATCATACAGCTGCTGGGGTTGGAAGGGCAGGAGGAACACGGATGTTTTGAGAGGGGATCTCAACAAACTCAGATAGAATTGCACGGAATTCATCTCCGCTCATAGTCTCCTTCTCAATAAGCACTTCCACTATCTTATCAATGGCTTCACGGTTGCTCCGGATGTGTCTCAATGCAATCTCATAAGCACTGTCTGAAATCCTCTTCACAGCTGCGTCTATGTCTTCTGCAAGCCTTTCTGACATGGAGTTACGGGCCATCATTCTCATGATGACATCAGCACTTTGAGCTGCCGAGTCCATGAGTGACCAAGGACCGATTTCAGACATCCCAAAAGTAACAACCATCTATTAAAAGAACAACCACCCAAAGGAACTCTGAGTAAGTGCATGTTTGGAAAGTGCAAGGGAAAGGGGAAAATACCATGTAAAGGAAAATTACATTAACCACACAGAGAACAACACTTTTTTTCTCCTAAATCTTCTGTTTCCTCGCACATTTTCTTGCCTACCAAATCTCTTCAATGTTTTCTTTCATACGGAGTATTATATTTCCTTAATGTTTCCTTGGATCCGAGGTCCAAACAGACTCCAAGGGGTATGTGTGGATCCCACAAAGCACCACATAAATGAAAAGAGATGCTTAGAAGTAAAAAAAAAGTCATTTGTTTATGTCAGGTTTTACATTGGAAATTGCAAATAACACGAGTCTCAACAAGTGCATGCTTGAAAAATGAACGTTAATTATTGTTCATATACTTAGATTCTTAATATTTATATAATAGACATGAATAAATAAAATGTGTATCAACAAATTCCTAAAATGGAGTCATTGGGTTTTATAATGTCCTTTTTTACCTTTGAATTTTCCCTCTTGTTTTCTTTCCCTAGTATTTTCCAAAAACTAAGCGGACGCAAAAGCTCTTGAAAAAAAAGGATAAAAGTTGTTCACTGCTGCAACTTGCATACCTGTTTGGCCAAACTAGTGGTCTGTTGCAAATCACCGGCAGCACCAGTGGTCACCTCGGAAGCTCCAAAGATAACTTCTTCCGCAGCTCGTCCCCCGAGTCCTCCAACAATTCTAGCAAAGAGTTGTTGCTTAGAAATCAAAGTTGGGTCGTCTGACGGAATGAACCAGGTCAGACCTCTTGCCTGACCTCGTGGGATAAGTGTGACTTTTTGAACAGGATCATGTCCAGGAGTCAGGGTACTGCATCACATCGCATGAAATGCAACAACTATGTTATTCACATGTAAACTCAATTTCCAAATAGACTCCATTGAATTTAATGTATTTTTTCCAACAACAAACAAGTATTCCAGACAAGTTAGGTGTGTAAAATTTAGTTCAATAAAAAAAATTTAGGCAAATTTTATGGTCGACGTAAGCTCAACCATCCAAAGAAGTACTCCAACAATTAAATTCATAGATATAATTAGAACTTATATCTAACAAAGAAAGTAGTAAAGCAGAACAGAAATAACTCAGTTTTTAACTCAGAGTAAATACAGGTTGTTTTTGCACTAATGACTAACCCACAAATTGCATGGCCAACTTCGTGGTATGCGACTAGACTTTTGCTTTTGCCATCTGTCATAGTCGTCCCTTCCATCCCTGCCACAATCCTGTCAATTGAATCATCAATCTCTTTAGATGAGATTGCTGTTCTCCCGCGTCTTCCAGCTAGTATGGCTGCCTCATTCAGAAGGTTAGCCAGATCAGCTCCACTGAAACCAGGTGTCCTCATTGCTATTACTTCAAGAGACACATTGGAATCGAACTTCTTATTGCTGGCATGGACCTTCAAGATCTCTTTTCTTCCCCTTATGTCTGGAACATCAACAGTCACCTGTAACATACAATGTCAAATTTAGCTTTTCATGGTATATCGTTCCACATTCATTGTTTGTTAGTTCAAGTCAACTATTTGAGTCAGTTTGGTTTATGGGTACATGTCCACTCGATGGTTTGGGACACCTCATTTGGGGGGGGGGGGGGGGGGTTGATAAAGTCATTTGTAGATTCAGGTTTAGTGTTTGGGTGAGGGCTATTTCAACAAAAAGAAAGCAACATGCAGTTATTAGGTTACCTGTCTATCAAACCTCCCTGGCCTCAACAAAGCAGAGTCAAGAATATCAGCACGATTAGTCGCTGCAATAACTATAATTCCAGTGTTTCCTTCAAAGCCATCCATTTCAGTCAGAAGCTGATTAAGAGTTTGCTCCCTTTCATCATTCCCTCCACCGATACCAGTCCCTCTTTGCCGCCCAACTGCATCAATTTCATCAACAAACACAATGCAGGGGGCATTTTCCTTGGCCTTCTTGAAAAGGTCACGAACACGAGACGCACCCACACCAACAAACATCTCCACAAACTCCGAACCTGAAATCGAGAAGAAAGGGACGCCCGCTTCGCCTGCTATGGCTTTAGCAAGTAACGTCTTACCCGTACCAGGGGGTCCCACAAGAAGAACCCCCTTAGGGATGCGAGCCCCGATTGCAGTGAACCTCTCAGGTTTCTTTAAGAACTCCACCACCTCCATAAAATCTTGCTTTGCTTCATCAACACCGGCCACATCATCAAATGTCACGCCAGTGTTTGGTTCCATTTGGAATTTGGCTTTGGATTGACCAAAGTTCAGCGGGAAACCAGGACCGCCGGGACCTCCCATTCCTCCAGAAGACCGCCTAGATAATAGGAACAGACCACCGATCAAGAGAAGTGGGAATCCTAGATTCCCAATCAGGTTAAACAACAGAGAGCCAGAATCCTCTTGAGCATTGTGGGCAGCAAAATCAATGTTCTTTTCCCTGAACTTTTGAAGGAGTTCCTGGCTGAGCCCTGGAAGTTGAACACGAACCCTCTGAACCCGATCCCCTAGCTCAGGGGAAACAGCCTCAACAATGGCAATGGTTCCATTTTCAAACAAATCCACCTTTTTCACTCTACCCTTATCTAAATACTCCAGAAATCGGGAATACGACATCCTGGAATTGGACACTGCCTGTTCATCTGCATTAGCTTTCCCACCTCCTAGAAGCACAGGAGCAGCAACACCTGCATTTCCTAGCAACAGTTTCAAAAAGCCCCTTCTTCCTTGAAGAGAATCACGGCCCAGGGACGCATTCACAGCAACACCCCTTGAAGTCCTGTTAAGAGATGGCAAGCGCGAAGCAGGCAAAAGCTTCCCTCCATAAATCTCCTTGTTATCAAAGCTCGCACGTCTTGTTCCGTGGGCGGATAACAGACTTCCCCCTGCTATACACACTGATGAAGTTGCCATCTCGGCAAATTTACAGTAATCTGGGAAGAAATCTTGGAATCAATCCATACGTATTGCAAGAAAAACACAAACATGACCCAATTATGAAATAACACAGCAGGCTAAAGGGACAACAGATAGAGCTAATAACAAGAGAGATCTGGAGAAGAAACCTGCAAAAGAACGAAGCGGGTCGACCCGATCACAGAATAACTTGAGGATTCAGCTCTTACAGTCCGAGCTCAAGCTAGCTCCAAGAAGAAGAGAATCCAAACAGAGTTACTAGAAGAAGAAAGAAAGATGAAAGGATGGAGAAAGACTGGATTTTTTTGAAGAACAAATGGATGGTGTGGCTTTAGATACGTGGCCCTTACTGTGAGGACACCGTTCTAAATCCGAAGCGAAACCTATTCCGAACCGCCCCTGTGGATTTAGACAATTAGACCGCTATTCGAGCCTCTCCAACGGTCCAACACTCCAACCGGTTTTGTTTAATATTTCATCCAATTTCAGAATTAGAATCAACTTGTATCCAACTAAGGTTGCGCTCTGTTCGCCTGATCTCATTTGATTTTTTGAAGATCTGATCTGATCTAGTCTGATATGATCTAGTCTGATATGGACTGATCTGATTGTAGTTATAATAATATTGTTTCTAATCTGATCTGATTTGATCTAGTCTGATCTGATCTGCTCTGGTCTGGTCTGATTATAATAAGAATAAGTAATAATCAGAAAAAATAAGTTGAACGAAATGCTGCCTAAAGGTGGTCATGGTTTGTGATGAACTTCAAAATCATTTAATACTATTTCATCTTCAAACAAAATAAAAATTGAGCATAATTTTATTTTAATAGTAAACAAAAGATGAATCCACTTTTAAAAAGTAGTGATTTTTTTCTAGTAATTTAATATTGGATTATTAATGAGTATAAAATAATAATAAAAGTATTCATTAAAATAATATTGATTTTAAAATGTCTAAAAATAATGTTAGAATATTAAAAGAAGAAAAACACAACAGAAAATATTTCGTATATGATAAGATAAAGTACACAAATAAATAGTTGATTATCCGATCATGTCACACTTAAAATCAGTTCGAGATGAAAAAAAATCTAGTCTTAAATACGATAAACCGTTTGGTGTCATTGCGATCCAATATATTACCATTGTTAGTTCAATCTCTTTGTCAACCACTTATATCTAACCCTATTACTGAAAATGATTACACATTGTGTGCAATACCTATATTTTTAAAGAGGATTTTACGCCATTAGTCACCAAGTGAAAGTTACTATAATTCCTCAAAAATTTACATTGAATAACACCGTTTTTAGATATGTATAGCAGCAACTATTGCAAATTCATCGTGAATAACACCGTTTATAACAAATTCAAATTAAAATAAATATTGTTTCTAAATCATTGCTCGTTGTCCCTAAACTTCTAATGCAGTGATATAATCATGTTCCGTTAGATTTACTTCTTAAAGTTAATTATTTCTATTGATCAATATTACACGAGTCTAAAATATGCTTTGTTTTTATTTTATAATATTCCTCTATCCTAAACTTAGCTTTTTTTTTGTTTCGTTTGATTTTTGTGACGCACAAAGTAAAAAAAAAATTAAATCTCACTGTTAAACAAAGTAACTACACAATTAATGAATACTTAAATGAAAGAAGCAAGTTTATTTCAAAAAGGAGTAAATTCTTAGTGGTTACTGACTTACTGGTTACATAAACATCTTTATAGTTTTATGCTAAGTATTCATTAACTTGTTTATGCGAAGTGTAATGCATTATTATGGGGTATCCAAAGTTTAAAGTAAACCCCATTGTTATTAGGGAAATTTACATGAATAGTACTAAAACATAATGATTTTTCGAATGTAGTATCATACTTCCTCCGTCCCATAAAGTGTTACCCATTTTGACTAAAGTTGAAATTAAGGAAGGGATAATTTTGTGTTGACTTTCCAAAAATACCCTTGATGTGATGGGTAAAAGTAGGATGTGATGTGTAGATTATTATAAAAAAGGCATGATGTGATAGGTAGGGTTTGAAAAAGTAAGAGTAAAAGTGGTTTTTTAATAGAAATTGGTAAGGGATTGTGGGACACAATTTTTTTGAAACGTGTAAATCTTTTTGGGACGGAGGGAGTATGTTTTTATTTTCCCAATGTAGTACCATTGTTCAAGTAAATGTTCAACGCTGCTGGACATTGTTCAAATTACATGTCCACCATCACTAAACATTATTCCCGCCACTGGACATTATTCAAGTACTATTTAGGGAATAAAAAAGTTTAAATACTACATTGGGAAAAACACATGTTTTAGTACTATTTAGTACAAATTTCACTTATTATTATTAGCTCGTGCAGAGTAGCATATATTTTTCACTAGTATCACACAACATAAATCTTAACTGTGAAACTCTTATGATCAGCTTCTCATCACCAGGCTTCAATCATCTTCCCAGCAGGAAAAGAGGTATCATATTCTGATAGGGAACATCATCGTCATCGTCTAAGGCAAGTGCCCTCACGAACTCGAGCAAATCCCGATCAACCGCCGGAGGGCCCACATTAGACTTCTTCCTCTCAAGAAGCGCGGACCGACAAACAGGGCAAGACCCTTCCTTAGTCACCCAGGGGACAATGCATTCGCCGTGAAACATGTGGCGGCAAGGGGTGACTGTCACCTCCTCCCTGGCCTCAAAATCTTCCAGGCAAACAGAACACCTCTTCCCCTCCTCCTCCTCCTCCTCCTCCTCCCTCTGCTTTGGGGTGGCTGGATTGTACTTCTCCTTCCTGAGTTTGGACAGCACCTTGTTCTGCTCATCTATGGTTAACTTGGACTCGTCTCCAGGGGATTGACGACGGTTGCGCTGGTGCTGCATGTGCCTTGGAATAGAAGAACGGCCTGGTTGTGGTTGAGTTGCAAAACCATTTCCTCGCACGACTTCTTCGTAAACTGTAACTCGGGTTGGCAATCTGCAGTTTCAGTTACAATGTTTGAGTTATTATTGATTGCTTCACCAAATAAAGAACAGCTAGGTTCTGTGGTCACTCTCTTTTAATGGCCCAGAGAACAGTGTCCCAATTAGGAGACGTACGGTGCTCTGTTCGCAAAATTGATAGCTCCTACCCCCTATTCTCCAGTAACCACCCACCTAGTCCCGATCCCAACCCATCCCCCCACCCACGTCAATTGCACCCCACAAGTTTAGTTGACTTTTGGGTCAAATTTTTTTACCTCAATGTCAAATAAACTTGGAACTATCAAATTTACAAACGGAGCACCGTATGTGTCCTCCGTGGCCACACAAAGAGAGTAGCCATAGAACCAGCCCAAATAAAGTATATGAGCACTGTTAGAGTATAAAACATTTCCCGAGCCAACAACCACAAGCTTGAACATTTTGAGGTCAGGAACGCCTCCGCACGTGAGGGCGGCGTGTTATAGAGTATACAATGGGCCAACAACCACAAGTTCAAACTTTTGGTTAAGTTGGTTCCCTGGCAAGCACAAAAGGAATTAGAATATTCATGTTGATGTTATCCCACACCAGGAACTTCCCTACATATCAAAGACCTAAGAATTTAGAAATATACTGTCAAATTGTCAGGCAGTGTTATGAAAACCATAATCTTTGCATAAGCTTTTGCTTTTCCATGGGAGCCTAGCTTTGCCTAATTCTAGTGTAGAAACTTTGAATTAGAACCCGGCTAAGGGCTAGATCATAATATGTTGCCTATCCTGCACCTAGCACTTTTTACAACACATCGGTACCAAGAGCTTAAATGATCATTGAACCCCACACACTAAATATTATCCAGGTTTGAATATAAACATGTAAAGGTCGGTTTAGTTGTGAATAAAAGAGTTCAAATGAGCAGTGGGGGAAAAAGTCTGTTTGGGAATCACATACAGAACTATGAAATTTTTTATTAGTAACATAAAGAGTGAAGTTACGTGGTGTCGGTGGTGAATCCGAAAAGCGCTCCTCCTATCAGTCTCCTTGAATTAGACGGCAACCTGGAACGCTGAAAGCCAGGATTCTGGCTGCTCTGGAAGGACTACAAGCAATCAATGAGAAATGAGCATATGCAGAAACAAGTATGTGTTCATGTGCAAAACATATATACATGCGGATTACATGTGAAGATGCGCTTACTGGAGGTGGAGGCTCTTCTGAAGATAGAAATCCTGGTTGTATTCTATTCCTGTTGTACCAATCAGTAGCCTCTTCTGACAAGCGTGAGTGAGGAAACCCATGTAGAACTCTGCTCCTGTTGTACAGATCAGCAGGCTCTTCTGGAGGAGAAGATTGAGGAAATCCAGGTTGCACTCTGCTCCTGTTGTACTGATCAGTAGGCTCTTCTAGCGGACGAGAGTGAGGGAACCCAGGTTGCATCCGGTTCCTGTTGTATCGGTCCATCGGTTCTTCTAGAAGATGAGATTGACGAAAACCAGTTTGCATTCTGTTTCGGGCATACGAACTAGGTGGGCCCTGGATAAAGCTTCCCAAATCATTTCTCTGCCAATATCTCTGACTCTGAGGAGGGAGATAGTCAAAAGGGTTGTCGCCATGCCAGCTGCTCATCTTGTTTATGGTCCTTCTGCTCAAACAGATCAAGAAAATGAGACGAGCCTCTTAGCTTAGGAGCATTTTATTTAAGCACATTACTTATTAGCTTCTTTCCAGAATACCATTGGAAGGAATGAGCTAAAACAAAGATTCTTTTTTTGGATGAAAAGATTTGTCCTTTTGTGGTGGCCAGCATTAGAAATGAGAGACCATCAAAGTAGAAATCAAGCAAGGAATCCAATTCCAGAGCTGTTTACATTTGAAAATACTGCTTACTGTATAAGGGGCATTAAGAATTCCTAACTTTATCGGAAGAGACAAAGATTCGAAAGGCATTTGAAATAGTGATAGAGAGGTGAAGTTCACCACACATTTTGCTTAATTCAAAATCACCATTTGATAAGTTATTCGGAGTAAATCGTTAAAGAGATACTATATTCTTAGAAAAATAATTGTAATTGAAAAACAAACTATTCAAATCTAAAACTGTAAATCTAGCACAAAAAGATTCTGGTTTGTCTCATTTACATTTTTCAATTCACTTCTCTCCACTGGTAAGCAAAATCAAGAAGCATATCAAACCAAAAGTGTGAGGATAAATACTACTTCGTAGTAAAATTATAGAGAATGTCTATTTTCATTAGAAGTGCTTTATGTAAGAAAAATAAAACATGTACGGAGTAATTCTGTAGTGCCTGACTATACATGATAAACAGCTGTAAGGAATGATGGTATGCAGGTATAGAGAAGAGAGAGTATGAAAAGGTTTGTATCCTTCCCAAAATAAGAAACGAAATAACTCATTTGTAAACATCTCAAAAAGGAAAGCGGGCCACTGATAAACAACCAACATGGTATTAATGTATTACGAGTATTATTCATAATAAAGGACATGAACTCGTAATTTCAAAAGAAGATTCCAGAATTTAAAAAAAATAGTCCAGACTCGTATAAATATAATGACACCAATGTTTTGTTTTGTTTTGTTTTGTATTCTTTTAAAATTGGATTAGAGTGGCAAGTATGTTACTCTAACCAAAGATTATGTGGCAAAGTCTACAAACATCTGCCATAGCAGTGCAGGCAGCAAGGAGTTCATAAGGCATAAATTTAAATACACCAATGTTTTAGTTTTGTGAGGGACTAGTTCTGCACTTTTGCATACATCGACCCCACTGTGTCAGTGTTGTTAATGTTGGTTCAAAAGTAATGCATTTACCTTTGTGCCAGGAGATATTCTCTTCACCAGATATCACCATAGCTGCAGTGTCCGTCTCTGATAAGATGAAACTGGCTTGCACCACTCACTTTAATTTCTCTTTTTGTGATGGTGGTGATAAAATTCAGTGCAGTGTGGCAATCACTTTAATCACTTTAATTTCATTAGCTCAGATTCTTGGTAACAAGAATGGGCCCTCTAGGATTAATAAGATTAAGCCATTGCAACAGATAGCTTCTCACTTTGATAAAGAAGAATCTGTTCTTTTGCCTTCTCTTGAACATCTTGGCACACATGATCAAATTCTGGCAGATACCCGGATCTCTTCATCTCCAAAGATAGTTCATTTAGTTTCTCATTGATTCTGACCGATTGTGGGTGAGATTGATCCCCTCCAACGAATGCATGGACAGTTCCGTTTACTTCAACCCAACTACACCCCGGGTTCTTCTTAAAGCCAGATTCCTTCTGTACAATTCTTATATGAGCAGCATCATCCCATCTCTCTGCAGTACTATATAAATTTGATAAAAGAACAAAATCACCAGGACTCTCAGGCCCTATGGTATGGATCTTATTTGAAACATCTTCTGCCAGTTCAATATTTCTATGAGTTCTACAGGCAGCAAGCAAAGCACTCCATATCCGGGCATCTGGCTCGAACGGCATTGTTTTGATTAAACTGTATGCCTCGTCCAAAAGACCAGCACGCCCAAGAAGATCCACCATGCATAGATAGTGGTCCATCTTTGCAGCAACCTTGAATTCCTGACGCATGGTATGGAACCAATGCTTCCCTTCGGTGACAAGACCTGAGTGGCTGCAAGCAAAGAAGAGACTGATGAAGGTTATGTCATCTGGTTGTTGACCAACAGTGAACATATCATTGAACATCGATATTGCTTCTCTTCCGCGACCATGAAGTCCATAACCGGAAATCATCGTGTTCCAAGATACCACATCTCTGGTACGCATTCTATCAAAAACAAGCCTAGCGGCTTCAACCTTACCACACTTCGAGTACATGTCAATCAGTGCATTGCAAATTGAAATATCTGTTGTATATCCTTTGACAATGGAGTAACCATGGCCACAAACTCCGTGCTGCAGCGCAGCCAACTGTGAACAAGCTGGGAAAAATCCCATCATGGTTGAGTAATCTGGCTCAACACAAGAACATTGCATTTGTTTAAAAATATGTAGAGCTTCTTCTGCATTACCATTCTGCCCTGACCCTGAAATTATAGCACTATAGGAGACCGAGTCTGTGAAATTCATCTCCTCAAATAACCTCATGGCTTCATCTATCCTCCCACACTTTGCATACATAGAAAGAAGCGTGTTGCTCACCATTAGGTCCAGAAAAGATCCCATCTTAATGATTTGAGCGTGTATCTGTTTCCCTCTACGCAGATCAATTAACTTAGCACAAGCTCGGATTAGTATTGCAAGCATGGAAGAAGAAAGGTTGAAGTTCTGTTCCAGCCTCATTGTCCCAAAGAGTTCCAACCCCTTTAATGCAGAATCACATGTTACGCATGCCCCAATCATAGCACTCCATGTGACTTCATTTTTTGAGTTCATTGCAATAAAAATCCTCTTTGCGTAATCCAACTGCTTACATTTTCCATAAACGTCCAATATCGCAGTATCAAGGACTACACAGCCAACAAAACCCATTCTTATGCAACTCCCATGAACACTCTTCCCTTCTCTCAGCTTGTTTGCCTCCCCAATTGCCGGCAGCATGGCTACCATAGTTGAAGGATTGGCATGCACCCCACTTTTCTGCATTTCCATAACCAAGTTCGCCATCTCCCCATACAAACCATGGGAAGAAAATCCAGCAATCAATGCATTCCACGCCACAGTATCTCTCTCAGTCATTCCATCGAACACCTCTCGTGCATCAGCCAAACACCCACACTTCACGTAAAAATCAACCAGAGCAGTGCAAACATAAACGTCATTTCCAAGACCGTGTCTTTCCACATCTTCATGAACCACCGTCCCGTTTCCCAGATCTTGAAGGGCAGAGCAAGCCTTTAACACAAAAGGGTACGTGTATTTAGTGGGTCTGACCCCATAATTCTTCATCTCGTAGTACATCTCGACCGCTCTCTCAAACGGCCCATCCCAGGCATACGCTCTGATCATTTGGTTCCATAAGATGGACTTATTTCTTCTGTCAGTGCTCGGAATCGAATCAAAAACCCTCCGAGCGAGCTCGAGCCTGCGGCATGAGATATAGAAACGGGTGAGCTTGTCAAGAAGGATTGAGTTGTTGGTGAAAGAATGGCCGAGTTTAAGGATCCTCTCGTGAATTGCTTTGCCTTGTGAAAGCGACTTGGACTCGGTAAAGGATTCCAGAAGTTTAATGAAAGCGTGAGGGTCTATTCGGAAATCCGGACAGTTCTGCTGAATCAAGCGCCTCGCTGCGAGACATGACATTCCAAGGAGGATGGAGGCGGCGACAATTTGAACAATTCTTCGTCCCTGGCTTCGACTCCGGGGGTGTACCCCTAATACATTATCACTGACACCCCTAATACATTGGAACTTGGAAGGGGCGGAGTAATACTTTCACCTATAAACATGGACTCGAATTTATGAAAAAAAAATATATTGTATTAAGATATAAATTTAAGAGTAAATTCTATAATTGGTTTTTTATAACCGGGGGTTTCCCTATTTAGTCCTCTATTATCAAATATTATCCCAGTGGTCCTTCTTTTATGGGTACCTTTCCACAAATAGTCCTTTTTTTGATCTTCTATCATTTTGGTGTTAATTTGAGGGCTAAAAGTGTAATTTCACAATGATAATATATCTTTTTGTCATACACAATTCCAAAGGCTGTTCCGTTTGCGTCGTATGTGAATTACGGTCGCTTTTTACGACAACGATAGTCTACAAATGTGATATTTCGTCAGAATCCTAGTCCACAATCATAGTCATTATTTTTGTGTTATCCACTTAACCAATATCAGAACACGTCACTAGACATAATGTTGATGTCAAATTATACTTTTAGCATTTAAATTAACACCAACATGGCAGAAAATCAAAAAAAGGACCATTTGTGGAAAGGTACTCTTAAAAAAAGGACTACGTGAGTAATATTTGATAATAAAGGACTAAGTATGGAAACCCCCATGTTATAAAGGACCAATTATGGAATTTACTCTAAATTTAATATCAATACATTTTTAATGAAAATTAGTTTTGAAATATCAATTTTTAAAAGAATATATCTATGTATAAATATAGATATTAATAGTCAAAGTGTAATATTGGAGACTGTAAAAAGTAATATATGACGAACATTTTCATATAAAGGTAGTATTACAATAAGAGTTTTGTATTTTATTCTCAAAATAAGAGTTAAAATGTATATATAATGTCAATCATACCAGTATGTAGTACCAAAAGTTATTGTGAAATGTCCATATACAATGTCACATTATCATAGTAGAACTCTTGTTTTAAGATAAGAATATAGAGCTTATAATTTGATATTTTCTCTATGTTTTATTCTTATTTGCAATGATTTCCTATCAATTTTTTTTAAACATAAGCACAATTTATTGAACCATAAGCCTCCATCACAAGTACATCACAGAATAACTCTAACAAAACAAACCCATACATGGGTCACCAGAATAAATTTATAAACTACATTAGGATAATCTTTCTTAGTTTATAGTTTATGAAGTGTTTCAGTTGATCTTTAATCCAGTGGCAACACTCAATTGGAGGGGTATCTTCATGTAATTTGATCAATCGATTCCTCACTCTCCACACAGCATAACAAGTTGCTGCAAAAGCTGCAATTACAATCTGCCTGCTCCTTTTTCCTTTGATCTTCATCATCTCATCTAACATTGCTTCATCATTAGCTGCTCTCCATTGATATCTTATCCAGCTTCCTATCTCTTCTTGGACCTCTTTTGTATATTTGCACTCATAAAAGATATGTTGCTTGTCTTCGTTTTGCTGTAGACACAACGGGCAGGTTAGATCAATAGGCATAAACCTGTTGAGCCTTGTTTTAGTGGGTATTCTGTTTCTCCATCCCAACCAAAGAAAGAACTGATGTTTCGGGGTGGTTAACCTGTTCCAGATCATTTGGTATCCTTGCATTTGGTTGCCCTCCTCTATAAGCCATTCATAGCCTTTGTGAATCTGATACTCCTTACTGGTATCCATTCCTGTAAATAGTGGTCTACAGCTCAGGATTTTCTTCATGTAGAAACAAAAACCTGCCTTGGGTGAATATTCCAGATTGTACCCTTCTTTAGATACTTATTATGAATCCACTTGACCCATAATACATCCTTCTTGTTAGCAATATCCCATAACAACTTGTAATTACAAGCATAGTTCCACTTGCACAGATTCTTGAACCCCAAGCCTCCATTCTTTTTAGATTTACAAACATCATCCCAACTAACCAAGGGAACCTTATAGTATTCTGCCTTTGATCCCCATAAGAAGTTCATGCATATACTTTGGATACTATGCATAACTTTAGCAGGGATGACAAAGAGTCTGCACCAGAAAGAGATTATTCCAAAAAGAACTGAGTTAATGAGTCTGCACCGGGCTGCATATGAGAGGTTTTTGGATGTCCATGCAGTGATTCTTGTTGTAAGTTTATTTACCAGTGCTTCACATTCTCTAGCACTGATTCTGCCATCTGTTATGGGACCTCCTAAATATCTAACAGGTAGCACCCCTCTGTCCATTTTAGTCATACTCAGCAGTTCATCCATTTCCTGATCCTGAATTCCTCCAGTTGTAAGTTGGGATTTAGTATGGTTTACCTCGAGTCCTGTTACATCCCTGAAGTGGTTGAGGCATTCCAGGATGACATTTACTGATCCCTTGTCAACTTTACATAGAATAATTAAGTCATTCGCAAAAGCCAAGTTAATAATTTGGAGTGACTTACACCTTGGGTGGTAGTGGAAATGTAACACCCGCCCTCCGTGGACCCAGTTCACCCGCGACCCAACGGACCGGTAGGGTTACATGGGCGGTCCGAGAACCGTCCGTTACAAAAAAATTAATGATTATTTATTAGGAAAACGGTTACGTTTGATTGGTGGGATATTAATGATTATTTATTATGAAAACATTTGTTTTACTTGGTGAAATAAATGTTAGGAGTTATTCCCAGAAACGTGACTGATATAAATGCAGAGTAAAAGCGGAAGTAAATAAATGAGTAAAACGACAAATGGTGGGTTCATGCCCAAATGATTAATTAATTTAATGTATTAAATATTGAACTTGTCCATGCGCCACCCATCTTCCCACCATCATTGTCCTCCAGGGTTAGCACCTGCACCGTCATGTCTACCTGCGTGTAGCAAAAACAACTACACGCTCAGCATAAGCTGAGGAGTGAATCTAACAAAAGAACATGAAGTGATAACCCATATGGTCATACACATATTAATACCTGTACTTAACATACGGAAAAACACATGTTTACTAACTGATTAATTTGTACTTGATGGGATATTATTACACATAAAAAAATGGTATACTACCACATTGAATATGGACATGATGGGGAACATACATGATGATGACAACCACATTGAATGTTGACGTGACATGAACATACATGATGACGATATGACCTGATGCATGCTACCCCTGACTTAGTCTCACTTGACAGGATCACCCCTGCACTCCGGTAATGGGCCGGGCTCGACAAAAACGTCGCAAGTGAACTAGCAAAACTGGGTGGTAGCCGTAGCCTGACTACCATGTACGTACACAAAGCCCACCTGATGAAAACCCATTGGATCCCAAAGGTTCCTGGACGGGCCCACTGTAGTACGCGCACGAAAGCCTGACCTCCCTACAGCGGTATGCACATGATGATGAACCTAGGACACACGTCTAGGATGAATATGATGACATGAATGCATTGATTGAAGAAGGAAGTTAAATTTAACGCATACATATGTGTTTGATTAGAATTTGTTCAACATGATGGCCTTAGGTTCAGAACTGGCTGATAATCGATTGTCTACTGCCGATAATCGATTATCATGTTGTGAAGCTTCTGTCCCCAAAGTCCTGCAGACTGTGATAGTCGATTGTCACCCTATGACAATCGATTGTCAAGTTGGTTCATTCGGGAAGTCCTAAGTTCAGAGAGCCCTGGTAATCGATTATTACCTATGTGATAATCGATTATCAGTGAAGCCAACTCAGACCCAAGAATCCGCAGGGCCTGATAGTCGATTATCACATATGTGATAATCGATTATCACGCTGTGCTGAATGAACTGAAGAGTCCAGCGTGGCCTGATAGTCGATTGTACTATCCTGTGACTCGATTATCAAGGCACGCTGGCTTCCATTTTATCTGTTTGTTTGTCATCAAACGTTGGAGGTTTTAAAAACGAATGTTTACATTTCCATGCTAAATAATCGATGAACTTACAAGGTTTCAAAACATGTATATTAACGAGTATATAACTTGATAACGTGGACACATGTATGTTGGATGGTTAACCTACGAACATGCATAGATTCTACGTAGGTTGCGTACGATATTCTTATGAATATGATGACATAGATTATAACTAAATGTTCTAGAATTAGAGGGACAACTACTCACCTCTAAATGAAGGGGTTGATGGAACGAGATGAGCGAATGGTGCTAACGAACGGACGAACGACGACTACGCTTTGCACGAATATCCTAGCCCTTCTTCTCCTTCAACCTTGCACCCGCCGGAGCTTCGCCGAAGGTCCTCCTTGCTGTTGGTCTGGCCGAATGAAGGGGAGAGGAAGAGAGAGTGAATGCTTGGGGGGTTACAAGTGGTGAAGGAGATTGAAGGGAAAAGGGATGTATATATTGAAGAGACATAATGGAGGAATAATGAAGGAATGATGAAGGAAGTAAATGAGAATTAAAAATGGGGGATGCATGGTGATGGGTGTGGCGTGTGGATTGATTTGGGGGTTACAAATATTTACTTTACTCTGTTATGTAAAAATCTGACCTGAACAGTACGCGCTTTTCCCCCCCGAACGGGTCCGAATTGAAAACCGTTTACGTTTTTGGAATCAGACAGTCAAAAAAAATTTAATGATGTGTTCAAATAATTTTTCTAAGAACTTTATTTCCCACAACTCTGGACCGGATCAGTAATTAATTATTTAAAACAATCAATTCTAATAGGCCGGGTTATAGGGCGTTACAGGAAATCATTGTTGTTTGTATATATCTTCAGTGCCCTTGTCAAATACTCCATAACCAAAGTAAAAAGCAAAGGGGATATGGGATCTCCTTGTCTGATATCCTTACCTCCATTAAAGAAACCCATGTTCTCTCCATTCAGCATGATTGAATAAGTTGGGCTGGATATACAAAAGTAGACCCACTGAATGAATTTGCCAGGGAAATTAATTATCTCCATGATCCCTCTAATAGCCTTCCAACTTATGGAATCATATGCCTTCCTAAGATCAAGCTTCATAAGGCACCTCAGAGTGATGCCTTTTCTGTTGTATCCTCTAGCTAACTCATAGCATAGCAATATGTTATGCAACAGCTCCCTACCTTCAACGAAAGCTCCTTGGTTAGGATTTATGATATTTGGCAGCACTTCCTTCATCCTGCTACTAAAGATCTGGGAAATGACTTTATATGCTACATTACAGCATGCAATTGGTCTAAAATCAGCAGGTGACGTAGGTGAGACCTTTTTGGGTATAAGCACAATATTAGTAGCATTAAGTTGTCTAGGGAATTCTCCATTTTGGAAAAATTCCTTCACAACCTTGGTAACCAGATTGCCTACAACTTCCCAGTTTCTTTTGAAAAAACCACTATTATAGCCATCCGGCCCCGGGCTTTTAGCATTAGGGATAGAGAAGATTGCCTTATTAATTTGATCATCTGTCATTGAAACTACCAGTGAGAGTTGCTGACCTGGGTCCAGACAAGGTCCTGCCTTAACAATTTCTTATTGAATAGGGTCAGTCCAGTAGCTAACTCCCAGTAATTTTTTAAAGTAGTCGATCACTACCTCAGCAACTTTACTTCTACCCTCAATCTTATCTCCCTTATGATTCTGTATAGTATTGATCTGGTTTGTGAGACTTCTCTTTTTAACCCATGCAAAGAAGAGTTAGGAATTCTGATCTCCCTCTGTAATCCAATTTTGTTTGGACTGCTGATATTTCATCAAAGCTGATGCCTTAGATTTAAGGATTAACTTCTTAATGCATTCCTTCTCTCTTCTGATCAAATTTGAATTATTGATATCATTTTTAATTCTTCTTTGAACCTCAGCCAATTCCTCTCTTATGATAGCACACTATTGATGGATCTGCTGAAACTTATTTCTATTGAGCCTCTACAAAGGAACTTTGAGATCCTTTAATTTGTGTATTAACTGATACATATACCTTCCTGAAACTTCTCTCTTCCATACCTTATTTAGAAGAGGCTTGAAGTCAGAGTCTAATTCCCACATATCACAATATCTGAAGCCAACATTCCTTCTTTCTTGGTTTTGTGTCCTGATGAGAAGGAGGCAGTGATCAGATATTCTCTCTTCAATAATCTGCGTCTTATTTCCAACCTGTAATAGCCATTCCATATTGGTCATCACTCTGTCCAGTTTGGAATATATTCTGCTACCCTGTGTTTGCTTGTTATTCCATGTGTAATAGCTTCCCTCACTAGGGAGTTCCTCCGGATGACACATAGACATGCAAGCTTTGAAGTCTTGAGTTTCATCTTCTGTAACATTATTACCTCCAATTCTATCTTGGGGCTCTAGGACAGCATTGAAATCTCCAATAACCCTCAAGCTCTCCTTCATGTTGCTAGACAGATTTCCCAACTGTTCTCATAGGTGTTTCCTATCATTTGCAGTGTTATGGCCATATACAAATTTCAGGTAGAATTTCTTGTTGTCTTCAATTCCTCTACACTTACAGTGTACCAGCTGGTCACTCCAATCCAAAACCTCCACATCAAACTTTCCTTTATTCCATACTACTCAGATCCTTCCTAAAGGGTGTGCATCTTTATTCATAAAAGAACCCCATCCATTAAACATATTACCTTCAATATCAGTAAACTTATTCCCTCTTATCTTAGTTTCCAGTAAGCCCATCAATCCAATATCATACTTATTAACAAGTCTCTTGACCTCATTTTGCTTTAGGGAACTATTAAGTCCCCTTATGTTCCAGCTGCCTATCATGTAAGAAAAGGATAGTGCCCCTCATATGGAGCCTTTTCTAAGGCCTTCATAAGTGAACTCCAAGCATCTCCATCCCCATTTTCAACAAACCTCTTCTTAGCAGTCTTTTTACCAGATACCTCCATAAATCCCTCCTCTTCTGGATGAGATGTGATTTCAGTATCCTCCTTCATTGGTTCTCTATCTCCAGATGGTTTTCCTGTCTCCTTACCTTGGTCAGTGTTTGCATCATCCTTGTGCTCTTCAGTATTATTCTTAGCCTTCCACACCAGTTTCCTTCTCACCCATGTGCTTTTATTATTTTGTTTCCTACAGGTCTCCTGTGTATGTCCCAATTTCCTACAATGGGAGCATATACAAGGATACCACTCATAGGTGACCCGTTGGGTAATCACCTTGTCTTCATCATCTATAAAGGTAATCTCCTGAGGAAATTCCTGCAAAACCTTAACCTCAACCTGTATTCTAGCATATGAGTATTTCGTTTTATTTGCAGTAGGTCTGTCTCTCCTTATAGGTTTCCCCACCATGCTTCCCAGCTTACTCAGACCATATAAGCTCCAGAATCGCATGTTCAGATCTGGGAATTGAATCCAAATTGGTACATCATCCAGATGCTCCAGGTTAATTTTTGTCCCTGGATACCATTTTTGGACCAGAGCTGGTTTGTTATCAAAGAAATAGTACTTCCGTTTGAGAACCATGTCCCTATCTTCAGCCTTTTTAAACGATACAATGGATTGTCCCTCTCTTAGTAGAGAAACATCCTCAATCTGATATTCCTTCCATATAAGAGGTTTAATTTACGAGGTTTGAACCAACTTTAATTTCTTGGTTCTTTTTACGAGGTTTGACCGACTTTATTTTCAATTCAATTTATTTGATTGTAAGTGTAAAATTAAAAAATAAAATTTATATATTTAAAAAACTACATCAAAAATTCTACAAAACAAGTGGTGACAAGACTATATTAATTTATCAAATACCTAATGAAAATAAATAAATAGAGTGATTAAAGTTTGACCGTGTAGTAAAAAATAAATGAGAAGAACATTTTAGCACAGAATGAGTAATAGACATGTGCAAATACATATTATACCCGGGTTTAAAACTAAATAATATAAGTGCCCATTTCAATTTGGTATTCTTGGCAGATCAATCGGGTCTTGTTCTTCCCTAATAAAAAGTATGCCCTCTCGTTCAAATATGAACTTCACATTCTAATTTAAAAAATTTGATTGAAATCATTTTTAATTTAAGTTATTTAATAAATACAACTTTCATCTTAATAATTATCTTCATTCTTTTCTATTAGAATTGTTCAATAATTTTCTTTTTTTAAAATAAATAAATATGTGGTCCGTATAAATTCTTTTTCACTACACAAACTACAATCAATTACTCCATCCGTCCCTTAATAATGTTCCGTTTTTGACTTTTGTATGAATTAAGGGATCGATATTTGTGCTTTGACTTTCCCTTTTTACCCCCCACCCCTAAAATAAAGTAGAGAAAAGCAAAAGTATGAATAGTGTAAAGTAGGATTAAATAATTAATTGGAGTACACATTCAATCAAATCGGTAATTCATTGATGAGAGGAAAACAGGAAGCAGCCCATACATCCTGTACGGCTGAACAAATACACTACAATTTCAGTCACCAATTTTTTTGTTGGGGGAAATTTGAACTTCCCTCCAACCAAAACCCTCCAAAACGAAAATAGAAATACATCAAAATCGGAATTCTATTTAAGGAATGCATTGAATGCATTCACTTATTCTTTCTTCTCTTCTTAAGCTTCTTCATGGCCTCTCCTGAATCTTCTTTGGATTCATCCACTTCCTTTTCCTTTTTAGACGATGAGTCATCCTCATTTGACAATCTTCCCCAAGTGATTGACGTGCCTTTTCCTAACCTCGACACTCCTGCAACGGAAATCGAAAACAACGGGAAAGGTCGTGTACAAAATGAAAAACGAAAAAGGGTGGTCGATGTGTTACTGCAACAGTCCAAAAATGGCAAACTTCAGCAGGGTGTCATTAAGAAGGTAGCTGAGGAATTCGGCTTTTCAGTGAAAACAGTCAGCAAGCTTTGGGCATTAGCTACAAGTCAACTCGAGGGTGGTCTACCCGTTAATGTTGAATGCAAGAGGAAAGGGAATAGTGGCAGAAAAAGGCTCCCTTTTGACATGAAAAAATGGCAGCAGTGCCTTTTAATAGGAGAAAGAACATGCGTGCACTTGCCCATCCTATGGATGTGTCAAAATCCACAGTCCTAGATGGCTTAAGTGGAAAAACATCATGAGGCATTCAAATGCCATCAAGCCACAACTATCAAAAAAAGGTATGCTTAATAGACTGAAGTTCTATTTGGATCATGTAACTGCCCCCTCTGTCCCCATTAGCCCAAAATTCCATGACTTTTATGACCATATTCATATTGATGAGAAATGGTTTGACATAACAAAACAAACCTCAACATACTACGCACTGCCAAATGAGGCAGACCCATACAAAACCATCCAAAGCAAGAGTTTCATACCAAAAATAATGTTTCTAGCTGGTGTAGGTAGGCCTAGGTATGGGGAGGATGGGGAGCTTCTATTGGATGGGAAAATATGCATTTTCCCATTCACTTATGAAGCTCCAGCTCAAAGGTCTAGTAAGAACAGGCCTGCAGGAACAATGGAAGTAAAGCCCATCCCAATCATAAATAGAGAAGTGATGAAGATGATGTTGCTTACTAAGTTACTACCAGCAATTAAAGAAAAATGGCCAGGACCATCAAGGAATATAATAGTACAGTAAGATCATGCTAAGCCTCATGTGGATGGCAGTGACCCTGATATTATAGAAGCTGCTCAAGAAGTTACTTGGAAAATTCAAGTCAAGTTCCAGCCACCCAACAGCCCTTACCTAAACGTACTTGATCTTGGATTCTTTAGGTCCATTGACTCTTTGCATGACCAAACAGCATCTAGGTCCTTGATAGAGTTGATTCAAGTTGTTACAACACCTTATAAAGAACTATCACCAGAGAAACTTAATAATGTATTTTTGACTCTTCAAGGGGTGATGGGTGAGGTTCTAAGTCACATTGGAGGTAACCAATTCAAAATCCCTCACATTGGAAAAATAAGGTTGGCCAGAGAAGGGACACTGCCTCAAAACTTGGGGGTTACCAGACAGGTGTATGAAACTGCAAAAGTGTTCTTAGAGGAACAAATTTCAATACCTTGATTTAGTGTACTTTTTGATATATGTGCAAACAGAGCCAAAGAAAGATACAATGTTCCCATGTACTTCGAGAGACTTTTTGCACAATTATTGGATGGGAACAAGTGTTGCAGGGACTTTTGAAAGCCATAGAAGAACTTTTGAACATGCAGATTTTAGGCAATGAGATATTTTTGCTTTTTGTGGTATTACAGTTTAGATTGTAATGAAAGTATACGTTATATTGTACTGCAAGTATATCTTATCTTTGGCCATGTATCTAAGTGTACCCTTATATTGTAATCAGGTGTAGTAAATATTTTACCAAGCATAGAATCTGTTTTACTAATTTTAAAGGCAACCATAAGATCTGTTTTACCAAATCAAAAGCCAAGCATAGCATCTGTTTTACCAAATCAAAAGTCAAGCATAGGATCTCTTTTACCAAATGAAAAGCCAAGCATAACATCTGTTTTACTAATTTTAAAGGCAACCATAGGATCTGTTTTACCAAATCAAAAGCCAAGCATAGCATCTGTTTTACCAAATCAAAAGTCAAGCATAGGATCTGTTTTACCAAATGAAAAGCCAAGCATAACATCTATTTTACCAAATGAAAAGCCAAACATACCATCTGTTTTACCTAATCAAAAGCCAAGCATAACATCTCTTTTACCAATTTAACAGGCAAGCATAACATCTGTTTTATCAAATCAAAATGGTTTTTTGGCACAAAACAGAAAGGGTAGACCAAAAAAATTGATTTTTGTAAGTCTCCAACCAATAAGGGGTGACATTACAATATAGCTAATGGTTGTTTACATCATAAGTTCGCCAAAAAAAACTTAAAACTGGACATGCAAAGAAGAATCAAAGACTGAAAATTAAGAGAAGGGAGATAGTACTCTTTCTGAAGCGTAGTGCCTTCTCGTCATCCTCTAAAGGCTCAAAGAAGAAAATTTTAGTATCGGACATGTCCAATATCTGTTTTGAAGTAATTGATTCCTCCTCTTCCCCATCTTCTTCGTCACATCCCCCTTCATCCTCTGAGGGAAAATGGCCTCCCCCAAGGTACTTTTTCCGATACCACCATGTCGGATCTGTATCAGATATACTAGATCCACAGTCACCAGAGTCGTATTTAAGGATCACAAGTTTGAGAGAATTTGGGGTAGGCAAACGAGAAAGTCTTTCTTCGTCACTATCGCTTAATAGCTTGAATCTGGGCATCGTAGAGTCACGAATCACCATTGGTGGTGATTCAATTTCTCAAGAAGAAGGGAAGATAGATCGGAACAGAGAAGGAGAGGAGAGGGGGTATAGTGCGGTGATGGTGAAGTGGAATGGGCAGGAGAGAGATGGTGGAATTATTAAGGTAGGATTGGGGTGGGTTGGGTAGTATTTAGGTTAAAGGGCATAAATGTCCGGTTTTGGGGAAAGAAAACTTTTTTTAGGGACGAAGAAAAAACGAAAGCGAAAGTTTATTTAGGGATGGAGGGAGTACATTTCATTTTGACCATGTTTGGTATTAGCGTTAGAAATTAATATTAACATTTAAGAAGACTATTTGACGATAGACTTTAACATTCCCAGAATTAATCTATATCATTTAAATTTTATCTAAAATATTAATATTAATAAAAAATTATTATTTTTAAAAGAGATCTTTATTACGGAGTAAAAATTATGTTATATCAAATTCAAAAGATAATTTTGGGAGGTAGTGACTAGATTGGGCCATTGGGGTGGATGTGGCGAGGCGATCCACCACGAGAATTGGAGGGTCAAAGTGTTGATTCAGGTAAATAAATGGGAGTAAAAAGAAATGGATAAAGTGATAAACTTTGAGTCTATTGGTAAATAAGTAAATTTACAAGAGATAAACAGAACAAAAAAAAAAGAAAAAGAAGAAAAAAAACAGTCAACCAACAAATTCCATCAAGTTCCTTTCACATGTTAATCCTGATCCACCACGGCCTACCACCGATCTCCGCCAATCCGCCGCCGCCGCAAGCGGCATGTCTCTTCCTCTCCCGGCGTCTCCATCAGGAAGTCAGGAACTGCTGCCAGAACACATCGTTCCCTCCATTATTATTACCCGCCACAGAGGCCGAAGAGTCGCCGTCAATTTCCACTCCGTTATTATCACCGGCATCAGGGCTTCCCTTCTCCTCCTCCTCTCCGGCCGTTTCTACATCCACAATGAAACTCAAAGGCGATGATGGCGGCCGGGACTCACAAACCCCATCGCAATGCCCCTCTCCACTCGAGATCTCGCACGAAATTCCACTCAACATCAAACCACTCTCGCAATTATAATCAACCGAAGATTCCAACTCCTTCTGCAGTGAACTCAAGAAACGGCTTTCTTCTTCCTCCTCCTCTTCTTCCTTATACAACATGGCGGCGGTGGCGGCGGCGGGAAGCGGGGACGACAACCTCGGCCTCTTCTGGTTATGAGAGTTCAACCAACGGGAAGAAGATAACAGAAGCTCTGGTCTCAGCGACAATTGACCAAGAAAGGCCACCAACTGCCTCTGTCTCCTGTCAATCCCCTGCATCCGATGCTGTAAACTGAAGAACTCAAATCTGTGTTCTTGATTCTCCTTTTCATGTCTGCCCACTTCTTCCCGGAGAAGTCTGTTTTCGTTCCTCAGCCTATCAATCTCCTCTTCGAACACCCGTCGTTCAAAACCGGAGGAGGACGAGTGGCTGTGGACCGGCTTCCGCCTGCGGATGTTCTTCAACAGATCTCTCTGTCCTCTCACGAACTCTTCATTCGCAAATTCCCACCTTTCCGGAACAATCTTTCTGAACCCCTGTTTTTTTTTAAAAAAAAAAACACAACCTTTTAACAATTTAACAAATCATTTATTCAGGAGATATGGGATTTTTAGGAACAAAGGAATTACGTATGTGTTGAGCTGTCTGATGAAGCTGGAGAAGTTGTTGTGCTTGAAGTAGGTGGGGAGCAACTCGGAGCAAAACAGGGGAGGGTTCCAGACGATGAAACTGAGGCCGCTCTGGCTCCAAGAAACAACATGGTCTGTCGATGGATCCTCGACCAGTTCATATGTTTTTGTCAGAAACGGGGCGGCAGCCTGTGGATCACAAGCTGTGCCGCCGCCGGCGCCGCCGCCTTCACTTCCGCCCATCGTCGTAATTAAGCAGCGACTAACCCAAGCTTGACGGCGACCCAAGAAAACCCAGAACACGAAATTCTGCAATGTGAGATTAGGAAACGATAATAATGAGATTCTTTTTGGGGTTGGTGTGTAGTGATTAAGAAACTCAAGAAAACCAGAAGTGAATTTCTTGGAGATAAAGAAAGACGGCTGGAGAGAGTGTGTGTATATATATAGATTGTTGGGGGGCGGTCAGCTTGACCGGAGGGAGTGAGGAGTTGACTTGCAATAGATCGGGCAGGGGGGAGGGGGCGAAGGATTTGATTGATGGTTGATGTGGAATTTTCAACGGGCCTCTCTTTATCATTTGTCTTTTGACCCTGCCCGTTTGTACCGTAGTAGCGTTTAGATGGGTGGAGCCCTTTGGACGTAAAAATGGGTTAAATGCGTTTGAGTTGTTAATTCACCTTGCTCAACTAGTTGATCTCTTGAAGAGGGGAGGTACATGAAAACTTTATAACTCAACACCAATCATAAATTTGTAAATGATGGATCATTCATGTAACATTTTTTAAAGGTATGACGATACTGGTGTGATTTTTAAAGTTGAAAGTGAATCAACGAAATTTTCAAAAATTTTATGAGTAAATAGCACAAAAAACTCGTATTATTATTAGATGTTGATACAAAAATAATAGTATCATATATTTATATTAATTTCATTTGTTCAAGTTGATTTCATTTTCAATTTTCGATAAAATGATTGTACTCCAAGCATGATTTACTCCATATCGATCATTTTCTCTATTTTTGTATTTTACTACTCTTATCTATTCTAATCAGACTAGTATTTCTAAATGAAATGGATTGCACCCAATCAGTTGTGAAATCTTGATTTTTGATGAGAATTGAAGTATTCTCTTAACCATGGAGATAACTAGTACAATTATAAACAGATTGTTTTTTGTTAGTTCTAACTATAACCGCGATAAATAACAAGAGTATGACTTTTTTTATGTTTTTTTATTATTTTTTTTCAATACCAATAACTCTATTATAATGTAGTGTATAATATCTCTTCATGCATTCTCAAACTATTAAGAACGTAAAGTTGTTACCCTCACCGGTGATCGAACATATGACCTCTCACACGAGAGAGTCACTATCATGTTGCTAAACCACAAAGTTTTTGCTGACGACCTTGTTTTCATATATTTACAGAGTACTCCGTAATTGTTTAGGTCTAACAAGTCAAAAGGGCTACAACCCAAATTAACTATAACGTTTTTTCTTTTTTCTCAAAAAAATGTGAGAAAGATAGAAGCTAGTTGAAATGGGCTCGAGTTGTGGCCTTCTTCGTTCTTGGAGACCTAACAGTTTCTGCTTCCGCCATCGCCGTCGCCGGTGGTTTTTCCGGCGACGGCGGCCACAACTTCACTTAGCTTGTTCCTCCTTTGATCCTAATCCTTCACAAGATTCCATGTAGCAAAAAAAAATATTCCCAGCCAACCACAATTGTCCATCTCTAGATCCATCACCGCCGCTTCTTGATTTAAAATGAGATTGTCACATCAGCTTGCTCAGCCGGCAAATCTTCAGTTGACAAGCATCCCTAGCAACACTTCATTCTTTTAGTTTCTCTAAATTAGTTGTGAACGACTACAGCGCATGTCAACCTTCTCCCTCATTCGACATCAGCAGCATGAGTTTGTTTGCAGCAGCTCTTCTCCTCTCTTCATCAGCGCTGTCACATCTCTTTCCTAGCAATCTTTCTTCTTCTCTTCTGTCGGGATGCATTCAGTCTACTCTAGTCGAAGATATGCCTCCAGCTTTCTGATTACAATTCTGGTCACGATTCAAGTAAAAGTTGGCGTTCAATCTTCACCTCCCAAGACGTTGGTAGCATGTTAAATATATTAATTATTTTAATATATTTAATATTATATATTATATTTATGGTTGTTACCTATTATAGCTAAAGTTATTATAATACAATATTTCCTTATTTATCTAGCCATAAATAGGGAGAATTCTAGAATACTCCAACTCCACCTATATATTCATTACTTTGTATTCCTGTTGGAGTTCCCACATCGGAAAATAAAGATGAATATCACTTGCATATATTGAAGGGTGAAGCCCTACCTATCAGCTTAAGCTTTTGGGTTAGAATTGTGGATCCCGACTTTATGTGCAAGTGATTAATTTTACCCGACACTTTATCCATTGTTATCAGCCCACCGGAATTTTAACATGGTATCAGAGCAGGTCCGGTCCGGGTTTGATTGTTCCTGGTTGTTTGTTTATGGGTTTAGCAAAAATGTGCTACCCGTATGTTGTTTGGGCTGAGTTGTCTAAAAAGAGATTGAGATGCCACCGCCTCTGTTAGCTTATTCGCGTATTATACTCCCGAATACGAATTTTTCAAGTGACAAACGTATAATACACGTATTTTTTACCCTAAATGTATTTATGAATTTTATACGTATTAAATCGTAAAAAATTTCTTCTTTCGATTCCAATAATCAAAATTTAGAAGGTCAAATTTTTATCTAATCAATTTACTTGATTGTCTTCTTCCCAAAAATACAAATCTTCAAAATTTGTCGACGCAACAATTGTAAAAGTATTAGAACAAGAATGCAGGTCCAAGTAATTCACCAACGTCTTTTGTTAATTAAATCTCATTCATGGTCTACCAGTTTCTTCAACTACATCTGGTTGGGAGTCCAACACTTCTAGTGCTCTAAAAAACTCCCTCCGTCCCCAAATAAATTTCCCTTTTTGACTTTTTGAGGATTTAAGGGAGTGACATTTTTGTGTTGACTTTCCAAAAATACCCTTGATGTGATGTGTAAAAGTAAGATGTGATATGTAGATTATTAGTAAAAAGGTATAATGTGATAAGTAGGGTATGAAAAAGTAAGAGGCAAAAAAAGTTTTTTAAGGGAAAATAAAAGTGTATTTGGGGACAAAGAAAAAACTAAAGGGGAAGTTTATTTGGAGACGAAGGGAGTAGTAAGCAACAACATTATTTGCGTAAAAGATTATTTATGGTGTATTTGTATTCAAATTGAATGACAAAAATGTCTTTCTTACTAAAAATATTTGTACTAACTATAAGCCGTATTTTTCAAAAATCAAACGTATAAAACACGAACGTATCCGTATACGTACCCCGAACGTATAAAGTGTATAATAAGACGTATTTTTAAAATGTGACCCGTATTATACACGAACGTACGAATAAACGTATTATACACGTATCCGAATAAGCTAACAGAGGCCACCTCCAGTTTTGTGGACTAGCTATAAGAGATTGGGATGCTAGACCCTTTTGTCCAAGTGCTAACTAGGCCAGGCTAGTTACCACTTGCGGGGGAGTGTTGGAGTTCCCACATCGGAAAATAAAGATGAATATCACTTGCATATATTGAAGGGTGAAGCCCTACCTATCAGCTTAAGCTTTTGGGTTAGAATTGTGGATCCCGACTTTATGTGCAAGTGATTAATTTTACCCGACACTCTATCCGTTGTTCTCGGCCCGCCGGAATTTTAACAATTCCTCTAAATCATTCAATCAATAAAGCATTCTTTATTATTTTTACAATTCATTAGGCTAGGTGTAATACTCCTCCGCCACCGCTCTGTGGTCCGCCATGGCGTTGCCATGTCTTCGCGTGGCCACGACGCGGAGCTCCATTCCCTCCCTTCGTGATTTGCCCAGTGTGAGCTAGGCCGTGGCCACGGTTAAGGTGCTCATTCTTACATTTTTTGGCTTTCACCCTCTCCCCAATAATTTAAGTGCATAAAAAATTATTTTTAAAATTCATTTGTTATAAATTCATTTTTTTAATTTTAAATTAATTGTATTTTTTGTGCATTTAATTGTTATGATATATAAAATTGAAAAAAAGTTAATAATGAAATAAAAATAGAATAAACTCGAAAATAATTTTCACTTATTTTCAATTTCAATTCTACTATCTGTTATAAAATGATAATAGAAAAAAACAATTATTTATACCATTTTTATTGACGATAGAATTTAATTTGAATAGAAATAGATAAATGTTTTTAAATTCATGTACTTTATAAGTTTCTAAATTAATTGTTTTTAATATAATTTTATATATGATATAATTTAATTTGAATATAAAAAGATAATTAGTTATAAAAAAATAAAAGTATAATCATTGCAGTGGTGGTGAGGCATTGCAAGTGTGAAGTCAGTGAAATGGTGAGTTGAGTTAGTGCTTTGCTTATGTGGCGCTGAGTGGCTGGTGATTTAGAGTGAGTGGTGGTGAGACATTACACATAATTTAAAGGAGTTGAGAAGTTTGAAATTTATTTTTAAAAATAATATCTTAATCTTGATTTAATATATACCTAAGAATTTACTTTGGCCCCGTTTCGTATTAACGTTAGAAGTTAGCGTTTTAAAGCGACTAGACAGTAGCCTTTAGCATTAGTATTTTCTAAATATCGACACCATAAAAATTTTATTGAAAATATTAATGCTAATTGAAAACACTATTTCTAAACAAGGTTGGTCTTCATATTTCATATATTTAAAGAGAAGAATATCAAATTTACTTTTTATTTTCTACATCCAATGATAGAACGCGTACTGGCGTATAATATGGAGTAATTTAAAAAGTAAAATTGATTGCATAAGAGAAGCAATATTCTTCCTCCGTCTCCAAATGAATTATGCTTTACGTAAAACGAAGTAAAATCTCAAGTTTTTTAAGCTTATTTATTTAAAGAATGATATAAAAATAAAAACTAAACCTTGCATATTTTAAAAATACATCAAAAATTTTACAAAAAAAAGACGTTAGGAATATTTTATTTGATTCAAATAATGAATAAAAACATACAAATAAAATATTAAGAGGGAGAGAATTGTTAATCATTGTAGAGGATGATGAAAGCCGTGAGGCTCGTCATAAGTAAGCAGATGATTAAGGTTAGTCAAAACCACATTGTGAGTAATTCAAAATCAAATGGACATCCTGGAAATTTCGTAAATTAAAAACAATACATAGGTTTTGATTGTATTTCTAAAATAACTTTATAGGGTTCCCTTTATAAAAAAAATACCCTAAAAATCTATTTTAAATTCTAAAAAGAGAAGAAAATAATGGATGCAGTGTTTTGTTTTACACCTTACTTTGACCTTTTTTTAAATC